TGCAAATGCAAAACACGCAGCGGCGTAGGACGCACAGGGTTAGGGCGGTGTTTTCAGGGGGAGTTTCAAGGGGGGATCCGAAATCTATGGCAGGGCATCGGGCTTTCGAGTGCCCTGAACTCTGTCACAACTTAAACCCTTCCATTGGGGGCGACTCGAAATTCCACAAACAGTGCGAAATAGAGCGCTTAAAATCGGGGAAGCAATTACAAAATCATAGGGCTTTGCATTGGAATATTTTTAAAAATTCTTTGAACTATAAATTCGATTATTGAATGCATAATTGTAAAAACAAATGAAATCCCAAAATTTTTTAGTTTTAGTAAACTAATACACAAGAAAACAAAAATGTTTTCATTTCTTTAATATTAATTTATTTTGTTACGTTCCTTAATTTTCTTCTTACTAGCATTTTAATGACAACCATTTTCCATAATTAAAAATAAGTTTGTTTTAAGAGATATTGGTCCTTTGATTAAATTTTTCTTTTCACAGTTTTTTTTTAAAACCTGCTCCAAGTAAATTTAAAAATAATTGTGGAATTTTGATTACAGCTTTTTGACAATATTAATCCCATATCACACATATTTCCATGGCATACCTCAGTCAGGAACTATGTATGTAGAAATTCAAATACCCAACGATTCCCAAAAAAGTAAAAAAAAAAACAACCCTTGCTGCACGATTTACAAACGAGAAATTTGTGGCATCAAACATGCATCACTGAGCCTCATTCACGCACAAATTTTATGCATATGAGTGCCGAGATGATGAAACAAAGCAAATACATAAATTGCAGGCCAGACTGACACGAGTTGGGAAATGGCAGTGGTAAGTGGGAGGGGGAAAATGTGAAAATGGGTGTGGGAATGGCAATGGAAATCACAATGAGTCTGTCATATGCGATGTCCAAAAGGAATTTTGTGGTGTTAGACAAAGTACAGCACTCAGATGTCGGAGAAGAAAATTCCGGAAAAAAAACCGAAAGAGCGGAAAGCTTCACTCAGAAATAATAAAGAGTTGGAAAATGTTTGGGAAAATTAAAAGCCAAGTAGCCGAGTGTTTTCGTGTGTGAGTGTGTCAGCGTTGAAAGCTTTATGAGCCATTGCTGGCATCAAAATGTCATTGTAGAAGACATTCGCACGAAATGGGAAAATTCTGCAAAGGATTTTTGGCGACTGCCGTCTGTGTCTTTGCCAGTTTGTTTGTGGCGGTTCAAACGAAATGGAGGAAGAAAATGAAAGAAAAGCCAGCAAAGGGTTGCTAACGCGTTGATGCGTCCATTGACTCCTCCTTCGACTTGGCCATAATTCTTTCGTCGCGAATATTTCGCATAATGCTGGCAAGAAAAAAATTTACACGCAATAGATTTTTATGTCCTCCGCCAGAATGCACAGTCAACAGCAGTGCGAATTATTCCCCCGATTGCCATATATCATTTTCTGACTCTGCCGCATTTTTGGGAATTTTCATTCAGATTTTTTATACATCTCCCTTTTTTAGCATGCTCTGGTTTGCCTTCATCTGCGTGGCCTTATTCAGCATCATCTCGTTGAGCAAGCGAACCTGGCATCGGTTTCAGACCTCGCCCATGGTCATATCCATGGATCGAAATAAGCTGGTCTGGAACACCAGCTTTCCATCACTGACGGTCTGTCCTCATAAGCGGATCGACGAGTTGAAGGTGGAGGAGTATATACTGTAAGTAAAGAAACTGTTTTATTAAATATATTCAAACACTTAATAAGTCGGATTTTCGGGCTAAATTATGATAATTATGATATTTTTTATTTTGAACCCTATAACTGAAATTTACAAGATTTAATAAAAATATTTAAAACTAGATAGAAAGGAAAATTTAAAACCTAAAACTTTTTGTTTATACACCAAGAAATAGGTATATAAATAATCTATACAAATAGTACTATGTACCAACAAAAAAAAATTTTAGAGAGAATTTTGTTGATAATAATTATTTTTTTTATTTAATTGAACTAAGTTCGAAATATTTTTTAAAATATTTAACAAATCATATTTAAAGTGTATTTTTTCCAACAGTGCCCATCCCGACCAATTTTTGTCCGAGGAAGATCAAGAGGATTTCCGCGATTTTATTGTCAAACTTGCTAGCCTCACTTACGAGAACTTGGAGACGCTGCCGCTGAACAAATCGTATGGGATTCCCAGTTACAAGTACTTGGACCTCCTCTACGAATTGAAATGGGCCTTCGAGCCGGAAATCAGCAGCGGCGCCGCCGTCAAAATGTTCATCTACGAGACGCAAACGGAGTTTGGCATTTGCCATTCAGTCAACTCGCTGGTGGCTCGCTACAATTCCTTTGAGTGAGTAATTGTTGGCCAGGAAGTAGCCCTGATTTGATGATCTCTTTCCTGGCTACTTGGCAGCTACTGGCGCTCCGGAGACTGGAGCCTTATGGACCACGGGGACAGGGTCACAGTTCATCCGCTGGACGGTGAGATCTACGCCCAGATTATAAACCTTTCGACTGCCTACGATGTTTATTTTCACGGGGCCGGTGATGTGCCGAGCATATCGAAACAGAGGTATACCTTTCCAGAGAGTGACTACACCACAGTGGAACTCATCGCCCTGGAGATCTATACAAACGAGGAGGCGAGAGCGTGAGTAGAAATAATATTTAAAATAAGAATATGATATTTTTAATTTGTAAGGTAAGAACACAGCTCCTCCTCTCAGGAATTCCCACAAGCACAGAACATAAAACATGCGCGAATTCTTTAAAACATTTTTTCAAATGCATTTTTGTTACTTCTGTACTGAAACTCTCTTAAGTTTACTTAGTTATTAATTGATTTTAATATATTTTTAACCCTTCCTGCAGTTTCAGCACGAAACAGAGGAGCTGTCGCTTCAACTACGAGGCCGACGAAATGATGACGGTGCCCATCTACAGTTTTGGCCTCTGCCTTTCGGAGTGCAGAATGTTTTTCGCTCTGCGGGTCTGCGGCTGCATTCCGCACTTCTACCGGAATCGCTGTGGGTATAATCATATTTTCGGAACACAGAGTTGCACTTAATTGGCCCCCATTAAAGTTAACTTTTATGCGCCGGACGGGGATGCATCAAAGCTGCCCAGTTTTATGGCGCAAATTCGGTCGTAAAATGTTTAAATACTCGTAGTTTAAGTGGCAACTTTGGCACGATTATCTGTCTCGCTCCAATGCACAACATCCGACCCTTTCTTTTGGTGTTTTTCCAGTACGAAATGGACGAAGGTTGCCTGTTTGCGGACTGGAGGGCATCGGATGCCTGGTCAAAATTAAACGTGAGTAATTTCCACCGCTCCGAGAACATGCAAATATTTAACCTGCCCCGGAAATTCGATTTAAATTATTTCGGTCGAAAAAAATGGACAGAATTTTCCGAGAACGTGACCATAATTTAATTTTTCAGGGGGTGGTCAAAAGTCAAGGTTGGAATAGACAACCTGTTGCGTAATTGCAATGGGGGAAGTAATTTGCTAGGAGAGAAAGATTATCGGACAGGTTGACATTGATAAGCTGGATAAATGTTTTTACCGAAAAAGCTTGTGTTTTATTAGGGGAAAGAATATTAAGTTGGGAGATAGAAGATTTTTAAAATAAGGTTTTTTATTATTATTTCCTTTCCTAATTTTCTAAGGAAAACAAAATGTGAAAATGAATAAATTTAATAATTTTTCTATACCACAAAGGCGAGATAATCTCATTGAAATCGGACAAATACAAAATCAATTGCAATTGTTTGGCCAACTGTGATGACTCCAACTTCTTCGTGCAGTCCTATGTAAGTACATCGCACATAATAAAAAAAATAAATGAAAAAATGGCGAGTCGCCTATTAAAAAATATAAAGTAAACTTTAACTGTAAAAATGTTTATGGCGAACAGAAGCGCCATCTAGTGCTCGTTAAGTGGCAACTGCAGACGCCGCTGCGTCGCGCATTTCAAGTGGAAAAATGCCCGGAAAACTGAGGAAAATCCGCCAGAAAAAAGAGGAGAAAGGCGTAGCAAAGCGGAGCGCGGGGCATTTTGCCTTAAACAAACATCAAAATTGTAGTCCGGGGCTATAAAAAATAATAAGCGCAGAAGTTGCAGGAACTGGGCGCCTTGAAATATGCAATTATTTTGGGGATGAGGTGTACGAAAAGAAAAGGGGCGGGAAAACCAAAAGTTTTGTTTAACTTTTTTCGCGCTGTGTGCGGCGAAAGTTTTTACATTTAATAATAATTTTTGCTTACTTGCCTTGTTGCCAGAATACTGATGCTGATGATGATGATGTTGTTCTCATTTAGCTTTTGTTTCACTTATCTGCTTATCTGTGTATATTTTCGGCATTTCCCCTATTTTCCCGCTTTTCCCTCAGCGTTCGCGTGTCTGGTTCCTGGGCGCTAATTTACAGTGGGGCATTGTGGAATACCCAAAGATGCAACTGCGACGCGACGTCCTCTTCTCGTTCGCAGATGTTTTGGGTGAGTTTCGTCCACTTATCGAAAATTTAAGGACTCACTTTTCCATTTCACTTTCCACTTTATTTGCAGTCTACATCGGTGGCCTTGTCGGATTTTTCTTGGGCTGCAGCGCCCTGAGCTTCACGGAAATCCTCTACTACTTTACGGCACGATTTGTGCGACGCATGTTTATTAACTAAATCAGCTAATTTGGCCGCTGAATTCAAGTTATATTATTAAACTTTGTTAAAATAATTTATTCAGTTAATCAATAAAAAGAAAAAATATTTCAACCTAACATATTTTTAGGTTAGTAGAGTATGCAAAATATATTTTAAAAGATGGCAGATTCTAATACACATTTTAAATCAAAAAAAGGTTCTAAAATATTTTTTTTAAACCATTTCTTTTTTAAATTTTTTTTCTAAACTTCTTTAACTAAAAAATGTTTTAAAATAACAAAATATTACACTATAAGTCCAAAATAAACCTATGCTACTTAGACCATTTTATAAAGTTCAGATTGGAACATTTTATGTTCCCTCATATATCTTTATTTATTTTCTTGAAGAAAATATTTACGTTATTTTTAAGTGTCGCAGCTTAGTCACTGAAACTGTCGTCCTCTATGCCAGAGGCCGCCTTAATCTCGCTCCAGCGCTGTGTGATCGAGGATCCCTCCCTGTTTTGCTCAACACCATCTGCAGCTTTAGGATTATTTGGAATAGGAGGCGGCTGAACGGCTTCATGCCTCTGAATGTAGAAGGTGCATCGTTTGCAGTAATCATTGTTTTCGTCAAGCGGCTCGAACATTTTACTGCAATATAAACATTTCTTGGGCTGCAGACGACAGCGAGTGCATCGGTGTTCCCTGTCCGACAATTCGTCCCACAGACATCTTCGAAAACACTTGGTACACATGTACAACCTTGTGTCGAGCATTTCCATTTCTGTAGATCACAGATATGCAAAATGTGAAAGTTTGGATATAAAATAAACCAAAAAAAAAAGTTCTTACTTCAACGTCGTTAAAAAGGTTTACAATATATTTTGTAGAAGTTAAAGCCAACGCCTTCGGAATATGATTGGAAATGACAATTTGTGATAGTTTGTCTTGTTAACTAAAATGACGAGATCAACCTAGGCTACTTATTTATGTGGAAAAATTAAGGGGTGATATAAAAAAACCCATATAATTTTTAAGATCCTAACCTCCAAATTCCTCTGGTATTTTGGGTGTAAGCTAGTGTTATCAATCCTTAGAGATATTCCCACACTTGTGACTGCCTAATCACGACAACTGCTCCGCCATCTTTTTATTGGCCAAACATAAACAGTCGCGCCGGCCTAATCAAAAATAAAATACACTTTCTGCAAAGTTGGCGAAAATCATACCGAAACTCCCCAATATTTCCACCTCATCATCATTGAACCTTCATTGTCCATGTTTCGTCGCTGGCATTTCAATGAACTGTGGGCTCCTTCAATCGAATAGAAAGAGATGGGCAGAGAGAGGGAGAGGGTGGGAGCCTGTCAGAAAAGGACGACAAATTGTGCTCCTTTTGTATTTTTGCCAACCTTGTCGGATTTTATTATTGGGGTCGTCGGCAGACATTAAAATGAACTTTTCGTCGTGTTCACATGTTATGTGTGCTTAATATTTGCCGAATTATTTGAAGTAAGTTATTTTTGCTCCAGTCATTGTTTGTTTGGAAAAACGTACAGTCAAGGTTCTATAAGTGCAATAATTGGAAAAAGAAGCCTTTAGATAAATGTATTTATTTTTCTTTATATTTTTCTTATTGGTCTTCATTTAAAATTAATAAATGTACTTAAATCTAAGGCCTCAAAAACAAAATATTGATAAAATTTCTTGTTTTGATACCATTTTCTTTAAGCTATTATTAGGAAGCTTCACTGTAATCTAATATATACTCCCCTAAAAATCTCATTTATTGTATTTGTCTTGACTTTTGCACAACTGAGTGAACTGTGACTGTCAACAAATGCCAAAAACTATAGTTAAGAAAGCTCATGAATTTATGCTGCTCTTTCTGCAATTCCTTTTTCGTTTTTGCGGCGTCATCAATAAATGAGTGAGAAACGGTCGAATGAAAATGGGTCATCGGAAAAAGGGGGGAAATATTACTTGCTGTAAGCTTCGGTTGATCTGCTTCAAGATTCAAAGTTTTCATCTGCCACACATAACAATGGCGAAATCTACATTTCAATGGCTTCATATTTTTTATGCAAAACCGCACTCTCCCTTTCGCACACTCGCTTGCTGTCTCCCTCCCGCAATCAAATCTCAAAGGAATTGTCAAAGTGTGTGGTTCTTTTTTTTGCACCTTTGCCGGTGGAAATGGAAAAAGGGGGCGTGGAAAACCACAATCCACATGAGATTTTTCTCGCCACCGCCGGCTGCATTTTAAATGACTAAGCGAAAGGGATGCTCGCTGAGGTTAGGGTGCTGAGGTTTGGGAGCTACGTATCACCCAACTTTGCACTTTGAAGTTTTTGGGGCTGAAAGGGTAACCACTCTTTTTACCGCATAAATTTGGGAATTATTGAAATTTATTGTTCAAAATTGCCATTGGCATGAAGTGAAGTGAGGAGAGCGTGGGGCTCAGAATATAAGAAGATCTAAAAATAAAAGTGATAAGACGCTAAAGAGATCCATTGTTCGTTAATCCTAGAAATGGTCTTTCCTTGTAAATTTCCACTGGGAATTAATAAATTACCTTGCTTATATACCATTTTTTTGAGTTCTTAATAAAAATCCCAATTGATTGATATCAAAATCAAAAAACTTTAATATGGACATTGTCCATTGGACAACCTTAAAAAAAACGTATATTTGTTTAAAATATTCCGAAATTAAAATGTTTACTTGCTTCTGTTATTAGCTGGAAAAATTTTAACCCAATTGTTTTCTTTAAGATTTTTTTTTTTTTTTTTTGGGTCCCATATCATACCAGAATAATCACACAAAAAGAGCATTTTTGTCGATTTGCGTTAAATCTAGAACGGTATTGTATTTGAAATTGCGAAGGTTTAAAAAAGATTTCCCTATTTTACAGATTATACCACCATGAAGAGAACTTTTTTCAGAGAACTTTTTTATAAATTTTTTATAATAAAGGTTGTTTTTTAGTAAACTAACGGCTTTTTTGAATTTAAAAAAAAAATTTCAAAAATTTAGTTTAAAAGGCTGGTTGTGAGTCCTTACTTTTAGTTTGCTTCTGGGGTTCGTGTCTCTGCTTTTAGTTCAACTCAGTTTTGAAGAGAAAAATACCAACTTGAGTGGGTTTTTTGCACCTTGCGTGAAAACCAGGTGAGCGCAAGAAATTTAGTGAAAGTAGCTTTCTTTGGCTCTCAGTGCGCAAGGACTTGAGTGAAATTCTTTCTCTCTCTTCTCTCTCTCTCTCTCTCTCTCTCTGTGAGCATAAGCCAGAGAGAGTGCGCACGAAATTAATTCAAAGTTTGGCGCGTTAATTGAGTGGAAAGTACCGTTAGTACGTTTCAACACCGATATTTTCAGCGTGACCGTTTCGCGTATTTTCGGTATATTTTTAGACCACTTTTGGGTATATTTCGAATAGAGTACAAACGGTATTTCAGAAAGTTGGCCATCTCTAATTTGTGGAAATTTCCGCAAAACAAAAAGAAATTAAAAATAGCCTCGCTAGGCGAACTTGCGAGCGATGCACAAAGGGGCGCCACCTTGGCAAGTGGGCGTTGCCAACGAGGCAGCCGGAATGGAGCAGCATCTGGCCAGGATTACCGTGGAACGAGGAAGGAGGCGGAGAGGAGGAGGCTGCGACGCAGCAACAACAACTGATAAGAAGTGAAAGGTGGTCGTGCAATCGCAGAGTGGTTTTCCTGGGACTCCTAATCCTCCTGCTCTCGGGGATTCCCCTGCCCCCCAGCCAGGCCACCCACATTAGCGGCGAGTTCCAGACGGCGGACTTCTTCCAGTTCCTGGTCAAGTTCGGCTTCAACAAGGCGGATCCCACGCGACGCAATGGCTATGGGTACATCTACGGCAACATCACATCGAAGGATAAGTATGGAGTACCCCTCACCCTCGTCGTCCTGGATAGGAGCACCTTCCTCGAGTTCTACGGCAATCGCAGCCAGCGGAGCAGGGAAGCCGCCTGTGCGGGCATGTTCTCCCGTCTGCAGAGGATCGCCTACGAGTCCACCTGCAATCCGCGTGCCAAAAGGGACTTCCTGCGCCACGTTCCCTGTCCCGAGAATCAGCTGTGCAGCGATGAGGATGCACCCGCCAACGTCGTCCCGGGATCGCAGTTCACCTACGTCATTAACTTGGAGGCGGAACCAAGGTGGGTTCGGGGTTATATTAGTATATAAAGCTAGGAAATTTGAGGATGCTTCAGGAAATGTCGTATAAATATTAATCTAACTATAAATCTCAAATATATAGGTACATATTTATATTTGAAGGAAAGTTAGGGATACTTCAGGAAATGTAGTATAAATATTTGTCTAACTAAACATCTCAGATATGGGTAAATATTTGTTTTTGAAGGAAAGTAAGGGATACCTCAAGAAATATATTATAAATATTTATCTAACTATACATCTAAACTTTAGGTACATATTTCTATTTGAAAGAAAGTTGGGGATACTATAGGAAATGTATTATAAATATTTTTGTAGCTAATGAGTCATGGAAGACCCTTCTGGTTTCCATTTACGAGAATTGTTGAGCCCTTGTGGATGCTATTATTGTTTTAAAGGTCTTGTCATTATCATTTGTACCATTTGTTTCCAAACCGACATCAGAAACCAGATAAATGAAACCGCCATATCATAGTTATCTTTGTTTATTTATTACGTTCTACCTCTTTACAGACTTTTCTGTATATTTTAGTGAACAAAAGCCTCAGCTATTTGCTTTTTAATAGGTACTTCTAGGGAAAACGGAAAATATTAAATCTCCGCTCTGTGCCTGACTTTGAATAACTAAAATTTCTATTAAGATGTTACTGATTTTTTGTACTATGATTTAGCGAACTTTACTGCTAAACTTAAGATTTTTCTTTAAAATAAAGTAGTAGATAGAAAATAAGAGATATTCGCCCTCTTTTAACTTAATTTCAAACCCTTCTCTTACAGATTCTGGTACCTCTCCCTGGTGGCCTGCTATCAAAACCACAGCACCTGCCAGTGGCACGCCCACGAGAGCCTGCCCAGGCTAAGCAAATTGAGCAGCAACCTCTTTAACACGCTGCACTACGACATTCACCTGGTCAACTTGCACCCCAACAACTCGGCCGCCCATCCGCTGACCTACCAGTACTCCTACGACCAGCAGAATCTGCTCGAGATGTATCTGATCTTCATGCTCGTCTACATTGTGCTGCTGCCCATGCAAATCTATGCGGTGCGCCGGCAGAAGCATCCAGTGACCAAGTTGTTTACGTTGAGTCTGCTCAGCGAGTTCGTTAGTTTGGCTCTGATCACCGCCCATCTGATTCACTATGCGGCCAATGGAGTGGGAGAGCCGCGATTGCAGGCGGCGGGCGATGTTCTGGACATTCTGAGCCGCACCACCTTCATGCTGATCCTGTTGCTTTTGGCCAAAGGTTGGGCCGTAACCAGGCAGCAGATAAGCAGAACTGGTTGGATCATCCTCATGTCCATCTGGGTGCCATACTGCGCGTTTCACGTGTTTCTCTACATCTGGGATAGGGTAAGTGGTCTGGAAATAGCTTAAAAATGTATTTATTTTAATGTTTTACCTGTTTACAGACGGAAGTTGATGTGGTTTCCGACATCGACGAGTACCAGACGTGGCCGGGCTGGATAGTCTTAATATTGCGGTATGTTTTTAGAGCCCATAAATCTTCCTTCACTCAATTTATATCCCCTTACAGCACCTCCTTTATGATGTGGTTCCTGTACGAGCTGCGTAACACAATGAAGTACGAGCACTCCACAAAGAAACTTGACTTTCTGCTGCATCTGGGCGCCTCCAGTTTGGTGTGGTTCATCTACCTGCCCATCGTGGCCATTGTGGCGCTGCAGGTCAGTCCCATGTGGCGCTACAAGTTGCTGCAGGGCATCACCAACTCGGCCGACTGCATGGCCTATTGCGTGATGACGGGTCTCTTGTGGCCACACCGAGCGGGCCAATATCTGCTCTTGGCGGGCACAAAATATGCGGGTAAGTTAGCTTGATGTAATGGGAAATTGCGGAATATCAATATGATGCTTTCTTTGCCAGGCATGGATGAGTTGGACGAGTTCAACGAAGCGCCGCACATTGTCAGAGAGCGTGAGCGGCGTCGGAATTCCCCACCCGATGACATTTCCATTGGCACGGGGAGCGGCGGTGGTCGGGGGATGGTGCTGTCTACAAGCATTCCACATTCACTGAACGGCGACGCCTGCAACGATCTTCTGGAGGCGGAGGATCTCGACGCCGAGCTGCTCACCGATCTTAACAAAAACAGCCACATTGTGGCGTAGATGCAACGGGTTAATTACTAGCTGCAGAAGTCAATTGTGCTAAATGAAACACGGAATGTTAATCATCCTTATAATTAATCATACATATAGCTAGATTGAAGTGGGTGGATTTTTGTAGACTATATATTTTACAAGTGGAAATTAACAAATATTTTGGTTGTGAAATAGAACTCTTTATTTTATTATATTCAAATAATATCAATTAACCTTTCCTGCTAATTTTGTACTATCAATCAAAAGTAAAAGTTGAATTGAAGGAAATATAAACATGACCATCCAATGAATGATATAAATTGTTTCCCATACATTTCTATAAAAGAAATAATATTCCTAAATTGACTACTTTTTGCCACTTCAGTCTTCTGTTAAAAATCGACCCACAATAACCTAGATATAAACTTATCTGCGTGTATATTCCATATAGTGTGTACCACTTACAACGAAGACAGAGCGAGTGCAGCAAATGCATCAGAGATTGTTGTGTGATTTTATGTAGTATGCTTGAATTTATAATTAGTTTCTAGTTAACGCATAGGAAAACGATTCGACACAATACGCTTTAGCATCATCATTTCGTTGCGGTAGTTATTGCATAAGCTTACATTTTAACAAACTACCGACTACCTACTAAGATAAGCATAGATTTCCAAACAACCAAGCGGTATTTTGATAAGAACAAACCAAACACACAAGCCAACGTCTGTAGAGAACCACTTGAAATGCTAAAAGAAAGATAGCGAAATAAATGAATAATTTTTAGATAAGTACTTCAAGGGGCGACTTTGATTTGCTTTGTTCTACTGATAATTATGGCGCTGTAAATTAGCCATATTTAATGGAACTATAAATACTCTTTAGAAAATTGCATTTACACTTTCTCTATTTGAAATTATTATTTTTTTTATTACTATTTGGCTAGCCTACTTTTTATTATGAATTTATTACTTACTTATTTTGTTACTTTGAAGTTGGAAAATGGAAAATATACCTATTATTTTATTAGTAAAGGATATACAAATGTTTATTATTATTATTATGTTGTCCCACCCGTTTTAAATATTTAAGACGGTCAAGGGTAACTAATTATATTTAACTGAAGGTCCTGTTGCATGTCCTATCATAATTCTCACTACTTTAAATCCCTAGAGCCCTTTTAGTTTGCCTTTCATGTAGATATTTATATTGCTGCCTTTAGTAACTGTTTAATCCTCCAGCAAAATGGTTCAAATATCCCTCCTACGCATTTACTTTGAAGTGAGTCGCTTGATAGGACTATGCAATCTGCACTACGATTCCCGGAACTATCGCTTTATCCTCTACCACGTGCCCACGGTGACCTACTGCCTCATCCTGAATGTGGCCTATCTTTTGATCCTGCCCTTTGCCTTGGCCCTCCTAACGGGCAATGTATACAAGTGCAAGAATATGGGAATGTTTGGGGCGGTCTATAATGTGGTGGCTCTGACCAAACTCCTGACCATGCTGCTCTTAATGTTCAGTGTTTGGGCGAAGAGACGTCGGTTGCATAAGCTGGGAAATGATCTGATGAAAATGCTGCACAAATTTCGGTTTGCCTTGGGAAACGATTGCAGGAGAAGATGTCTGTGCAAAGTTTTGCTAACCAGTTCTCGATTTGTGCTCCTCACACAGCAGCTAATAACACGAGACTCCTTGGTCGAGTGTGAGAATGAGTCCAGTTTCAGGAGAGCTATGGTTCCATACTTTATGGCATCCGTAGTTTACGCTTTGATCTTGATTCTACTAATGAGCTATGTGGATTTGACGGTCTACATGATCGAGGTAGCTGGGAATTGGCTGCTGGGAAACATGTCGCAGAGTGTTCAGGAAATGATTCAGGATCTGGAGGCCTTGCCCAAACGAAAGGGAATTCTTCGAGAGATGGGCTTGAGGCAAATTCTTCCCGCCTGGCGAAAACTTTGGAGGCACTGCCTTCATCTCGATGAGGTCCTCAACCAGATTGTTGATATCTTTCAATGGCAGCTACTCTTCAACTTGCTCACCACTTATATCTCCAATATAACCATTCTGTTTCGATTGTGGATTTACCTGGAATTTGACCAAACTTTTCACATTTGGAAGGCCATTTTATTTGCTATTCTATTTCTCACTCATCACGCCGAGGTCGTAATGCAGTTTTCCATCTTTGAGATCAATCGGAGGAAGTGGTTGGAGCTGCTAGGACGTGTGGTAAAACTTTGGGACGATAATTTTCCGGGTAGTAAATATAAAACCGGTAAAGGAATGATATTGTCCAGACAGGTAAGTACTCGAAATCACATTGATTAACCCAAAAACTTTTTAAATATTTATAATTCAGTTGGAGTTTTCGATTTTGTATCTCAACCGCAAGCTGCAACTGAATCCACAACGTGTGAGACGCCTTCACATCGTTGGATTCTTTGATCTGAGTAATTCAACAGTTCATAAAATGTCCAGTAACATAATAACCAATGTTTTGGTTCTGTGTCAGATTGCCTACAAAATATATGGTTAAGTAAAAATCTATTTTTACATTAGTAAAAATTTTAAATGAAAATTAAGAACCTTTTGTTAGCTATTTCTTATAATGTATTAGATAATTCAAATCATTTCAAAGTTCCAAACCAAAAATTAAAAACTAGTTTATCTTACATTATTTATTTTTACATGTCAAAAATGTGATACCATAAAAGGACTTATTAAATAAAAGGACTTATTAAATTATTCTCCCACAGGAGAGTTATCAACATTATCCGCTAGAAAACCACAAAGGTTCAAATTCGTATTTCCTTTTGCAGGTACAGCCCCTATAACAAAAGTCATGAACGCTTTTGAAAACCATACAGTTATCAGTTTATATAATATCCTGAAAGCTTTTTATATTTATAAATATTCGAATATCCTTTTTATAAAACCCGCTATAACGCAAGTCCTGAAAGCTTTCGGAAGCCATACAGTTTATGTAAAGTCCTGAAAGTCACAGACCTTAAGTTTATTGTGTATTATTACATGACAACTAGAAAGCACCAGTAAAATTTAAACAATATTTTCGTAGGTCTAAATAGCAATTCCATTCACTCTGCCGATTTGCCCTTGATCAAAAGTGCCACGTACTGAGTTTTGTTAGGATGTTCTTGACGTCTCAAATCGAATTGCATAAGGATAATGACGTTGCTCAGGATGGAGCCTATATAACTAAGGCCAGCGGGTTTGTCTAGCTCTACGAGTCCGCAGATTTTATAGACCAAGTGGTTTCGTCTCAGTTGCATGGTAAAAATCTCCAACTAAAAGATAAAGATTTCAAATTATTGAAATGAATTTTTTTTTAATCGGAGGACTCACCTCCCTTTGTAGCTTTTTGTCACCATTTGGCAGGTCGCTAAATTGCTTGAGTGCTTGGCCGGTATTATTACAAGAGGTCACAACCTTATCCAGCATTTCCAACAGCTTCAGAGTTCCCCAGATGTTACAGACAATCAATCCATTGCCAAATAACATGCCCCAGCCATCGGACTTGATTGTTCGATTACTGTACTGAACAGCATGATATAGGATATTCAAGGTGGACATAAACATATTGATAAAGACAGTGGCATTGATGACATCGTAGAATCCAAAGATCTTTCTGGCCAACCGAAGGGTTTCCAAGTGCATGGAGGCTATGGAGCGCAAAGTTTTCCATTTCTTTCCAGCTTTTTTCCCGTGAAGAGCGTTCAATGCCAGATGAATTACCATGAACTGATGATTCAGCAGGATAAGCAATCCATAGAAGCCCATTTTAACGGCGATAAAGTGCAGGAAGTGCGTGAGCCTGGCACTTAAAGCCAGTAAACTGTGCTTGTTAATCACACTCAGTAGTTGATATTGTATCAGGGAGGAGAACATAAAACCACCATAGAGCACCAGTATTTCTTGGACCATTATCCTAGTCAGGGATTCCTGCAGTTCCTTGATGTCATGCCTATTCACTATGGTACCCATTATCTTGCTGAACCGCTTCCAATAATTCAGCGAGTTCATATAGAGCTGAATTATTTCCTGCCGTTTCATCCACATGGTTCCGTAGCACCCGAGAATGGCCAAGAATCGCAGAATTAGCATCGCAAAGAAGTTCCACTGCAGGACTATGTTGTACTCTTATATAGCCATCCATCAAAGCCTGAGGTATCATGTAGTACATGTTCAAAAACAGAAAGATTCCCACGATATAGCTGTATATCAGGTAAGTTCGCGAAACCTTCTCCAGGCGAATGGTTTTCCTGTAGGAGCGTATCCTTAAAGTAGTGCCCATCAGGGCAAAGAATACGGAATGGTAGTAGACCAAGTTCATCACGCGACCCAGTTTCGGATGCAACATGTCGGAGTTGAGGTCACCGGGTAACTGACAAAGTTGTGAAATTAATTAGGTGAAAGTCCTTCGCGGTTTGATGGAAAGGCGATGAGCAGGTCAGGTTATCAGATTTCCGGCAGGATAGCGGAGCTTCCATCGATTCCCGGACAGTTGACAGTCGTCCTTCGCCGGTAGCAGTTGTCCGTGTCATGCTGCTAAAGTCCTTTTACATATACACACTCGGTTGCGGTCTGGTGCCGGCTCCTTTGAAAAAGGGAAAGTTCCTCACAGGATATTCGCAGAAGTGGTACCTCCTCTACACGGCCTTTCTGCACGGAGTTCTTCTCGTCCTCCTGCCCTTCACATTTCCCCACTACATGTACGATGAGAGCTACATGAGCAGCAATCTGGTTCTCCAATGGGCCTTCAATTTGACCAACATAACCCGTATAATGGCCATGTTTTCGGGTGGTCTTATGATGTGGTTCAAAAGAAAAAAGCTCGTACAATTGGGAGAACACCTAAGAAGACACTGTCTTAAGTGCGAAAAACTAGAGGATAATTCCAGAAAGTTTCTTAAACTGCGAAAGAGAATTCGAGGAGTACTTGGTCAGATGTTCTTTGTCACGAATCTCAGCCTTTTGGTGGGCACTTTAATACTAATGGAAATCGATACGGATCATGGTTTCAGCAAAATAGCAATGATTGCGACGCACATCAGTCAATACACCTATATAGTTATTATGATGGCGGGTATTTGTGTGATCCTTGTAATCCTTCACTGGCAGAGTGAAAGGGTTCATTTAGGTCTCGAGGACCTGTGCTATTTCCTTAATCATGAAGAGCGCAACTCCCTAGTTTTATCGGAAGACAAGGCTAAAAAGTCCCTGGACAACCTGCGCAATCTTTTCCAGCTTTTTGCGGAAAATCAGCGACTCATTATAAAGGTTTTTAAAATATTTGACATCCCCATCGCTTTGCTGTTGCTAAAAATGTTTGTGACAAATGTAAACCTGGTTTATCATGGCGTGCAATTCGGTAATGAATCTATAGAAACATCGTATCACACCAGAATCCTGGGACAATTGGTGGTATTCTCGCATTACTGGAGTGCAGTTCTGATAATGAATATTGTGGATGATGTGACTCGTAGCAGTGACCTCAAAATGGGAAACTGCTTGCGGCAATTTAGTCATCTGGAGTTGGTCAAAAGGGACTTTCAATTGCAGGTAGTATGTTTATAATAAAATTTATTTATAATTTATAAAAAAATTTTTCCAGCTGGAACTCTTTTCCGATCACTTGCGTTGCCATTCTGCAACCTACAAGGTCTGCGGACTATTTGTGTTCAATAAACAAACTACTATGGTTTATTTTTTCTTCGTCCTGGTTCAAGTTTTGGTCCTTGTACAATTTGATCTTAAGAATAAAGTCGAAAAAACGACTCCAAAGTATTCAAACATGTCTTAATATAAGTATAGTAAACTAAATATAGTGATTAAGATATATTACCTCACCTATTTATTAGTAATTTTGTATTAAAAGGATCAAATTATACGAATTAACCACCACAAAAGGAGTGCGAGCAGGACGACTATACAAACTTTATGGTAAGATTCGATCGCTTTGTGGTAAATAAAAAACAAGAGAGAACGCTATAGTCGGGTGCCCCGACTATCAGATACCCGTTACTCAGCTAAAGGGAGTGCGAAAGAGATGGAGAAAAACTTTGATCCGCCGTAACTTTTTAACGAATGGTCCGATTTAAAAAATTTCTTCTACATTTCGATAGGTATTGATAAACACAATAAAACTGCATTTTTACTTTTCAAAATATTGAAATTTTTAAAATCGTATATAAGCGATTGTGGGCGTTGGGGGGCGTGGCACCCTTTTGAACAAACTTGCGCTGCGTAGGAACTCCTAGAATCTGCATGCAAAATGTCAATCTTCTAGCTTTTATAGTTTCCGAGATCTCAGCGTTCATACAGACAGACAGACGGACAGACGGACAGCGGACAGACGGACATGGCTAGATCGACTCGGCTAGTGATCCCGATCAAGAAATATATAGTTTATAGGGTCGGAAACGCTTCCTTCTACCTGTTACATACTTTTGCACGAATCTAATATACCCTTTTACTCTACGAGTAACGGGTATAATAAGCAGGAAGACGGAAAAGTTTATTATCAAGCTCGGGAATCCACATCAATGTAACTTAAGCGTGTTTAATTGCTCATCACATACCGTTACAGTTATTAAATATTAAAATCCATTAATCAAATGTGTTTTCGATCGCCGTGGAGCAATAACAAAAACACTAAAGGCGTTTCACATGGCGTGGGAAGAAGAGGAAGCACGAGACTTCTTAGGCAATTATTATAATGTATGTATGTATATAAGCTAGGTGCCTCATCAATTATACATACATAAATAAATATATGCATGTTTATGTACAGAGATTGCCAAAAAGTATAGGTATGTAGTATATTTAGTTGGCCTAAAGCAACCCAGATAATTTCAATAAGTCCATCCACTCCACATACAAAATGGCACCATATGTGCGAACTGAGAGAAATTGTTAGTACTTGTGGTGAAAATATTATGTAATTCAATTTGTTCTAATAATAATATTTCGTGCTGTTAGAATCCTGTTATTTATATTTGAACTACAAAAAATTTAAAAATGTAAATTTTTTTTTGTAAAAGAACAAACTTTGTTACTAAATTTAGGACCCATACTCAACTAAAAGTAGGTTTAACTTCAGATTTGCAAACAATTTCTAAGTCTAACAGGAAGACTTCTTAATTTTATAACAAAAAACGAAAACAGGATGACAAATTTCTAAGAAATTTTATGATTTCTTGATTATAATGTTATTTTCTTTCGGTGCTGTTAATCTTATGTAGCGAAACCTCTTTGTCGGCTAACAAATCAAATTTAATCAAGCTCTCAGGAAGTCAGGCCCCCGAGCAGGATTTGGCCATTAAATCTGGCCTGCGGGGCACAAAACTATCCGATTGCCGAACCCACTCCTTTGGATCCTCGCCGCCTCTTGTGGTTCGATATTCCTCAGCTGCTTTTTGTATTAATTCCAATCATACGCACGACTGGGGAATTTCCATTTGGACTGAAAGGATTTCGGGTCATTATGAGCTCCTACTTCATCATTCTTCTATCGCTCCTGCCACTCCTTCATCCTCCGATTGTATTGTTTCTGGGTCGAAACTAGTTGAAGATGGGGGCGGGATGGGATGGGGTTAATTGACCAAGGTTTGTGTATCGATTGCAAACTGTGCTTGGGACTGCGATTGTGTGACATGGCCGAAACCACAAAACGAGAGCAAACACGATTTCTTTTGGTAACTAATTAGCAAACTGGGTAAGTTTATTTGGCAAACAAGCCACTTTTCATCCTCCGTTGGGTCGCCTTAATTAACCCTTTGACAGTAATAAACAGAAATGAAAATTATGAAAATGGGCAAAAATATGGCTCAGAAAATTGCAATTTACTTGCAACTTTGCTCGATAGATTATAATTATTTTTCGAAAATAAGGAGCTCTACAGTAAAACAAAATAGTTCTAGGTTAAAAAGTACATTAAAACAAAATATATATATTTTTTATATATATTTTAAATGTTAAAAAACTAATATTGAATCAAAAAACTAATATTAAATCAAACTTCACTAGTTTTGACTATAATTACAATTTAACAAAGTCATTTGTGTTATTTTAAAGCCAAAACAGACGGGAACCCCATTTGGATCTGGAAAACCCCATCACAGACCAGTGAGTCGCATGAAAATTTGAATTTTTCGTGCATCCCTGGTTTTTGCATGCCCTTAAAACGCAATTAATTTGTTATAAAGTTTTGGCAATAGTTTCGGACTAAGCTTCGTTCAACATTGAGCCCTCTGAATGGACATGGACAAGTTTCTCAACGAGTTGCGGGGGATTTGCGGGTCGGAAAAACAGTTATCAACACCAGGAAAAGCGGGGGAGGGGAGGTCCAGAAAGGGGAACCACACAAATGTGGGTCAAGTTATTTTCAACACTTAAAATAAACTCTCCTGCCTTGGCTGCTTGCACTTTGCCAAAATGCTGGCCAGCATTTTCTTTAGCCGCCCATTTTCTGGGTCAGTCGCAAAGCCCCCGAACCTCCATCTCCCTCCCCCTCCCAATTTTCCGACCATTTTCCAACCCAAACCCTCTTTGTCATCGCCGTCGCCTCTGCGCATAAATATAAATTGTATTGTTTCAAAAAAGTTTTCCCACTGAGTTTCTGCGGCCAGCGGAAAAAGTAGTTAAAGTTTTGTTTTCGCCGCTAGTTTATTGCGTGATTTCCTTCGCAATGACAGGCGGTGGGTGGCTGGGTGGTGCGGTGGTTCCATTCGGTGGCTGTGGGTGGCGGTGTTTTGCTGCGGTCTGAGTGGCGAGTGATAACTGCAAGGCGAAGGTGGCGAGAAAACATTTTGCCACATAATTCACAGTTTCTGCCAGTGCATTTGTGCGGCTTTTAACAAGTTGTGGCTTTCTTTTGGGAAATACCAAATGAAATGGAAGCACAAAAGTAGAGGAATTTAAGGAACACTCATTATGTAAGCGGATTTCTAGAACTTAAATACCAAGCTTTATTGTTGGGAAAGGGATGGATTGCATTTAAAAGCGTTCTAAAAATTTAGTAAATATTAATTGAGCGAAAAGCAATTGGAAAATAGTAGTTAAAGCATTTTTTTAAATAGATCATAGAAATGCAATCCTTGGTAAGGGAACCTCTTTGTTAGAAACACTTTCATATTAAATTACTGTTCTACATTCTACTACAAAGAGTTATATCAATAAAAGGAGTATTCCTTATGAAACCTTTTATTAAAATCTTGAATCAAAGAAACAAAATGTAAAATAGTACCTCTGTGAATATAGTTTTTTTTATTTTTTTGTTAGCCCCAAATAAACCGAACAGCAGCTGGTTGCAATTGCAGTCGTTTAGGTGATAGCACCACCTTCGCATTTCGGAGGTACTTCAACTTTAAGGGCACTTGAGGCTAGTTTACAATTCCGCCAATGCAAGTAACCGTTATGCACGTACCGCCACGTGACCAAAAGTCAAAGGGAGGGGGCGGAACGGAAGGGGAGGGGGCGTGGCCATTTCCACAGATCGGTGCTTTCCATTCGACTCCCTTTCGTCTGGCAATTCTAATTGCATTTTTACTTAGTGCGGAGTCGAAAAGTTTCTTCTCTTTGAGGGGGGAAAAGCGAGGAGGTGGAAGGACTTTCGGACGGCGGGTTTCCCCCGGTGCGTAAAGTTTAATTAAACGTGTTTGATTTATGACTTGTTGGGCATTCGGCTTCTGCCGGCAGCTGCAACCGCAATTCCAATTCCGAAAATCTAATGCGTTTATTTTCGGGTCCTTCTGTGTGCAGAGGCCAAAGTTCTCGCTACGCTTTTCCCACACTTTTCCGCGCTTTCCCACGCTTTCCCGCGCTGGACATAAAAGCCAAGCACCTTTATGGCAGCTGCAGCTGTGTGCGCCATATGATTTCCGTTTCCGCTTCCGTTTCAACACACAATTTCTAGCACCTTGCAAACGCCGCATCTTTGGGGCTCCATGTTCCATTAAGCGTTTATTGTTAGCGTGGTCATTAAAGTTGCATTTTTGCCTCCCCGAAAACTCCCCGAACTTTTCCTCAACAAGTTCATCATCAAAGTTATAAGTTATAGCACAAACAGCCGAAGGAGCAGCAGGTGCCAGAGCCACCAATCTAGGCGCAAATCCCAGAGCTTAGGATTTTCTGGGCCGCAAATCAGGTCAGGCCACAGGCACAAATCTCTGGCTCAATCCAAGCTGAAAAAAATTTTCCACGATAATCAACTTTGATACACGTTTGCAAAGGCCAAAGTCTCGGCATTGCCTTGTAGGCTTTTCCGCCCGGCCTTCTTGGCATTAAAATGCCGAAAATGATTGGGAAAATCGCAAAAGAAATCCGGAAAAGGCACAGGCGCCCAACGTTTTTGGGGCCAAGGCGAAAGTCCCTTATCCATATTTTTTATGGCCAGGGAGGAAAATGGAAAAAGTTTATGTTAAAGCCACTCTCGCCCTCGTCGATGAACTGTGTGGATAATCGCGAGGCCGTGTTCCTGGCCATTTCCACTGGCTTAGCTTGGCCCATTGGCTGCGGTTGTGTTTGTGGGTGGTGTTTGGGTTTGGCCAAGATGTTTGCCTAGTTTATTGAGCTGGGGGAAAGCTAAATGGAATTGCCCGCCCTGCGATTGAAGTGCAATTAGAGTAAACATGGAAAATGCATTTAATTTAATTTCTAGCTAATCAGGAGATTTTTCTTGGTTTGAGTAAATATAAAGCAAAGGTTTTATGAAAATTTAAATATTTAAAATGATTTCTAGGAATGAACATATTTTTTTAGCTGTTTTCAATTGAAGGTTAATAAGCCTATAAAAAATTATTTTATGATTTAAACATGTATTGGCTCTTTTTTTCATGTACTCTTATTGTTGACGGCTTTACGATAATAAAAAGGATCACGCTAATTGCTTGAAAACATTTAATAAAGTGCAGAGCGAAATAAAAAATATGACAAAATACCCTGTCTAACTAAACAGCCATTCTGTGCGTAGACAACTTTTCCAATTGCTTTTGTCACAATACACTAATTGGTCCGCTCAAGGATAAAAGGCAAAATGAATTTATATATTTTTTTAACCAAAACAGAAATACAAGCCGCACAACCAGACAGGAAAAATGACAAAACACAACTAACAGTTCACAGTCGAGTTCATCTATAATCCACTACAAAATCATTTTCATAAATGCTGAAATATGGGTAGACAAACTGCAAAAAAATTAAACATATATTTCATTTATGGAAACGTTTCGCTTTCGTGTTTTTTTGCGAAACGTTTCGCTTTCGTGTTTTTTTGCGAAAATGAAATTTTACATTTAACATGACCAATTAATGTGCGGCAAAGCCGCAAATAAAACCGCTTAATTACGTGACACGGCCAAAAGGCAGGCGAACCCGACAGCAACAAAGGCAAAAGCGGCTGAAATGCAGAAATTTGCATGACACGCATCGAAATGAAATAATAATATGGTTAATAAAGCCAGCCGCATCTGATTCATTCACTGCGCCGCCACATCCATGCCCAGATGTTCGCCCACATCGCTCGAACCCACCGCCGATTTCGCTGATTCCACCGATTCCTGGCCAGGATTCCGATTCCAGACTCTCCGGCCTCGAGGCCAATTATCGCACTTATTTCGCTGCTAATTAAAATGCAATTATTTGCTTTAAACAACATAATCCCATTGACAGGGACTGGCATTTCATTTTATTTGCATATATTGAGGCTATTGAGGTAAACTTTTGGGTTGCAGTGGGTGTTTTTGGCTTTGTGGAGCTGAAAACCGCTTGAGGGATTTAGAAAGCCGATTCTTTTCACACAACCATTGATCTGATGGTTTTAAGTGACCATATTAAGCACTGAAAATATGTATAAAGTTGTAAGAGATATTTGAAAATCTAAAAGTATTATTTACGCAACGTTGGATTAATTATTCTCTATTATTTGAATACCTAGCTTTATTCTTATCATAAGCATTTAGGTAGATGATTACAAATCCTGAACATTGTATGCACTGAAAATATGTATAAAGTTGTAAGAGATATTTGAAAATCTAAAAGTATTATTTACGCAACGTTGGATTAATTATTCTCTATTACTTGAATACCTAGCTTTATTCTTATCATAAGAATTTAGGTAGGTAAATAAAAATCCTAAGTTCCCCATCTTTTTAAGTAATACCCTACAATTTTTAGACAGAAAAACAAATGAATATATTTAATAATGTATTTTCCCCTATCTAAAATCCCCAGAATTATCATTGTTCCATATCGGCATCTGTAGAGCAGTCCTCGTCATCCTCGGCGGTGATGTGAATGGGTGGAGCCTTCACGTTTCCGCGATACGGATGCACTGGCACCTGGACCATTCGTTGCCTGGGACTTATCGCCTGCGTCGTGGCCTCGACATACTGACCCCCATTGGCGGCCACATTGCGTCCAGCTTCTTCGACGAAATCCGTGATGATTTGCCACAACGGCAGGCGATCCGCCAAGCCGCGCGAACGAGCCTGATGCACTGCAGCGGTGGCAATCAGGGTGAAGTTCATGAGTCCGGCATTGAAAATATGCAACCAGGCACTGATCTGTTGCTGACTGTCGATGGAAACCGCTGGCGGCATGGGAAAAGGCATGGGCATTGGCACGGGAACGGAAATGGGTGCAGCTGGTGGATTTGGTTGGCAATCCTGGTAGGGTGGCACCACCGGATGACCGCTTATGTTGCGCTTTTGTGGCAGCTTCAGGGATTTCAAGGCCACCGGCGGCGATAAGGATGATGATTTGGAATTGATTGACGAAGCCGATGATTTTGTGCTGATGCTGACTTGCGGTTTGGCCAAGGACATGGCCAGAATCGAGGGATAGTTGGCGGTTCCTGTGCGGTACGATGATGATGTATATGAGCCTAGAAAGTCCCCATTCATTACTCACCTGGCTGGCCAGTTGCCTCGCGGGCCATTCGCTGCTCAGCTCGTTTCACCCAACCGCGAACCGTGGACTCCGGAACACCCAGCTCACGGGAAATACCGGCCTTGGTCTCACCACCGCGGATGCGGGCAATGGCTCGTTCCTTGTCGTCCAGAGAAACTTGCACCCGGGGTCGCTTGCCACGCGGCACTCCAAATCTTTCCATTCTACGGGAGGGCGATTATAAAAAGACGGGTATCCTAACCAAGCGAAGAGGCGAAGAGAAGAAAGGCAGCAAAGAACTTTCGACTGGTTTTTGGGTCTAGAGATTTTCACAATTTCACTCGCGTTGCCCGATTCCAGACGTTGTTCTGTTCAGCTCGACACGACGATTATAATGACAGGAGTTGAGAGGTCCCGGGCCTTTTGAGTTTGGGTCAGCTGACGTTTAAATCGGCGATGGTTTTCTTCGCGTTTCTACAGGCCTCTTCGTCTTTCCCTTTCGATGACATTTGATTTTCCCCTTGCTCCCCTTTCTCCTTTCTTTCTTTCTTCAGTGAACCCTTCGACGCAGGGCTGCATTTTGTCCTCGGGACTGCCAACTTGCGCGGACCCAAACCCTCCAATCGAATTTAAGCGCTTTTAAATTTCTCATTTTATTTATTTTCGTACTTTTATTTATACATTTATTTCTGACGTACACTAAAATATGTGTCCTAATTTTCAAGTTTTTTTTTTCATTTCTTTGTGGGTATTAACTTCCATTCATTTCTGGGACCTTCCTGCTTTATTCTTTCTTGGGGTTTTTACACACTTATTGTGGGGGTCAACTGTACCTTTGAGGTGCAGAATTTATTTTAAGAAGTATTTCAGTTTCAGTGAGGAGTTCTCTGTCAACAATTTTTGCGTGGGAGTAAGTGAACAAGGGATTGTTTTTGTAATCCACAATGCCGCACTAGTTCTTCCGAATCCTTTTCTTATAGACTTAAATACTAGAACCATTTGTAGGTTTCAATTTACAATTTCTCTGGGGATTATCGATTTTGGTTTCGCCTTTCTAAAATTCCTGCCACAATTTGTGGAATTCATGGGGGGAAGTTCTTTATTCAATTATGGACTAGGTAAATCTATGTGCAAAAAATATACCCTATATATTGTATATCGTACATTATATACATATGCATGTATATATATGTATGTATATACGCCTGGTTTTGCTTGACAATTTGCCAACAATAGTACAATGTATTCGTATTGTATTTTATCGATATAATAACTAATAAAACCACTAACAATTGTTTATTTTAATTATTCTTATTACTTGGAATTAAACGCTTGTTTTCGTTTTGGCTTTATTTTGGTTTTGTCATTTTACCTGTCTACCTTAATTAAAATCTAGTTTCTTTATGCCTTTTAAAGTATTCCGTTTTTTATTTCAACAATTATCACGTGACAATTTTTCATGTTTTAATTAATTTATTCAGGGCAGTTTAAGTTCTTTCCTTTGTGTGAGTGTGTGTTTTTTAAACATTTATATGTTTGAGGGCTTTTATAGTTTTTATCGTACAATTATTCTCAATTAATATTCATTAGATGTCACGTAGAGCGAAAGTTATAGACTCGACTGGGCAGAGCTACTTACATAGTTATAGGGGGATTCTATTCCTTTTGTATTGTAGGTGGAAAAAGAAAGGTCCTTTTACAGGAAACTTAAAAGTATTTGGTAAAATTATTAAATATAAAAACTAATACAACAGTTTTGGAGGTTTCTTAACGGTACAAAGTAAGAAAAATATTTAAAAAGTATTGCAGTATTTTAACTTTTAATATTTGTTCAATATAAAATGGGAATAATTTCTCCATAGTTGGATTGGTTAAATAAAATATAAAAGAGTTACAATATAATTATCGGTCTTGTAGTAAGAAATGTTTAAAAAGTTTAAACATTTAAAATAAATTTTCTAAAATAATTTTTCTTAGTAATCCTCTTGCAGATGATGTCTTCCTTGCTGCTGGGAGGACCTTCTGCACATTCGCCTCAAAATGGCGAAGAGCAGGGCAAACATGAGACACAGTCCCACGGTTATCAGAGCCAACTTTCCATATGGCAGTTCGCTGAGATCGCGTCTCAGGCAGATCTCGGGTGATTCATCGTGCAGCACCAACTGCTGGTACTCGCCAGCATGATGGAGGAGTCCCAGTTGCTCCAGATTCCACTCGATATGTCGGGTAAGCTGCGACAAGGTCGAAGTGTGCGTCACATTCGGGCAATTGGCTATTCCATTGCAGATCAGATGCTTGGGAATGCAGACTTCAGTGTCGCCGGGACATCGGAAATCGCAGCCGCCGTCTTGGAGCAGTGAGGCGGCCAAACTGCCATCGGGATTGCGGGGCAGGTGGAAGAGTTCCGTCCACACAAGCCGGAAGATGTTGCGTCCCGGCTGACCATCTCCCGTGTATTGGATAAGCACGGGCAGGGGTTCCTGATCGGCACCCGTGGCTCCCAGTTCAGCGGTGGTTAGAATGGGTAAATCCCTGGCAAGGGAAATATTCTCCGGGCAGACCACAAATCGGGGCTCTAGACGTCCCGCCAAATAGACCTCAATCTTGGCACTTTCGCAGCTGCGATCCGCAAAGCGAGCCTTCTCCAGGTTCAGCCACAAATCTCGCTGGGCGGCCACTTTCAGTTCCCAAATGCACTTTTCCCGGCGATAATGATGCTCTGGCGGTGCCATGGGTCCCGAAACCATGGCCAGTGCTTTTTTGTAGGGAAACACCAGCTCGCCATCGGGCGAGGGACCCAGGGTAATGGGTCCACACAAAGGACCGTGGGCAAACTCGTAGGTTGCTTCGAACAGGGGATTGGGGTTCTTGAAGTACGATGTAATGGCATGCTGGCCCTGCACAATCATCTCGAGATTCATCTGATCCGCCGACGATATAACTCTCACCGCCCGCGGGATATTATCGCAAAAGCAGGCCAGGTTATTCTGATATTTATCCCGCTCCTCCCAAATCACCAACTTATCCACTCGCTCCTCGTGACACCGAGTGCAGGCATTGCTGTTATAGGGCAGCTCCTTGAAGGACACCGCATTCACTTCGATAATAGCTCGAGCATATAGCCTTCGATCCGTGACAAATTTATACTGACAGCGGACATCACTACCCCCAGTTCGCTTAAAAATCAAGGAATTCAGGGGGGATCGAAGACGACCACCTGGGTGCTTCCAGGCATACATCACCTCATCGCAAAGGGTGTTCGGTACAGGATCCCCGAAGCGAGTGTTGTTGAAGAAATCGTAGTGCGCCCAGTAGTACAGTGAGCTGCCGCTGTAGCTGCCTGTTTTCGAGTCGAATTGAACGTACAGCGAGGGACTGGTGCTCACGAAGTCAACTTTCTCCATTGGCCGGGAGAAGGTGTCGCAGAAGGTCTTGATGATACGCGCGGGATCGGCGTGGTCCGAATCGTAGATGGTCAGCGATTCCCCGCAGTCACCTTCGTACTTCAAGATCGGAGATTCGATGCGATTGATGCGGAAACTGCAAATAAAATAATTGTAAAGTCAATTAATTTTTGTGTTGGGATTTTCAAAAAAAATCGGTATCGAATTTACATTATTTAAGATCAATTTTAAATTGATATGCGGCAGGTAAATTTAAACTGGTCGAAAAGAGTATTTCCTGTAAATGTGTTTACATGGCCACATCGATTTTACGGGAACATGCTTTTTTTATGTGTAAGAAAACTTTGATAAGATTTTGTTTTGATTGTTAATTAAGACTTATTGAGCTTTGAGTATAAGTATACTTTTATACAAAATTAACTTATATCCCCCAGTAAAACCCCTCTTAATTTCCGAAAAAACATCGGATGCAGTTTTCTGAAATATCTTTTTGTCCTACAGTGTCAGGCATAATCATAAGTCGCGTCTGGTAAACACCTCACTCGGCTGCTGGCTCTCTGCCAGGCCGCAATTCTGGCCATGTCCTTACGTCCTACAATTTAATATAAATTCCACCTGCCAACAGGTAAAAATAGCCCCGTTTCGCTCTTTCGCTCCCTAAAAGCCGTCTCTATCGCATACACGTAGCCTCGTTGGGGTTTTTTGGGTCGCGATGTGAGTTACATTTCTGCCTCCATCAAATTGCATTCCAAAACTATTTGTGGCAGGCTGACGAAAACGATGGGAGAGCGCCAAGGATATTTGAAAGGAGTTGATGTGGAAGGCCAATTTTCTGCAGTTTTCCCGCATTACGTTGCTAGCTGATGTGACTGCAGTATTTTCGGGGAGCGAAATTCTAGTTGGGTCAGCGGAAATTAAAGGACCAATGCGACATTATTTATTATTGGGTTTGATAACATCATTAATGATATCAACTACCCATATTTATTGTCAAAAATATTTTTTGATCAGCGATTTGAGTTGTAAAGTTATTTTTAAACCAACCTTATTCAACCTTCAAAATGAATGTTTTTCCCTTATTACAAAATCCCAAAACACACAATTGCCGAGACCCTAAAAATAACATCCATTGCTCTCAGTTACTTATCCCGCAAAATCCACAAATGGTTATATAACTCGGCTCCTGTTTAGGTTTTGCGTATATCCTTTTATATAACTACCATTCAGAGTGCGGTGAATACATTCTATGCAATTACATTTGCCTCTATCCAAAAATATGACATAATACAACATTTTATTAACTCACACAAAGTTGGCTAAAAAAAAGAGGCAAGGACCAAGGGTTTCGGGGGGATGGGAGGCCGCAGAGAAAAATCACCATCATCAGCAGTTTGAAGGGAGGTCGGCGAACGGGGGGCGCTGGCCACGCCCCCTAATCTACGTCGCTGGCAGGCAGCAGTGTGGCACAAATTTCATTTGGTTTCCCTCTTGTTTTTTATGCCCGTGAGTCTCGCCCCTCACTATTCATAATGGAGCAGAGTTACTATTTTTTTACCCAACTATATCCCCATATCCCCCGGCTCCTTCTCGGCGCTTTTCGACGTGCCCATACCGTTATTCACGTACGCGTCGTCGAAAAGTAAGCCCCGACACCCTGCGGCATGTCCTCGTAATCCGTTTGCAGCCTAGCCCAATTCCAGTTGGTACACTGAGGGAAAACTATGCCTTATTGGGATATTAATTTAACATTTTATCCTAAATTAAAAATAAATGTTACATAAAATAGATTGAATTTTCTGTGAGATTAGTCCATATATCATTTATTTTAATCAATATATAGGTGTGCCATATCTAAGATGACCTATTAACATAAAAATATTATACACTGCACTATGGGCAAAAAATTCGAAAGTGAGGCATTTTTAAATTTTTTTGTTCTTCAGTATTACATAAATGACCTTCTGTGGTTATTTACAATACTTAAAGGAACCTAAAATCCATTTTCAAAGAATTTTATTTGGCGTTTTTCGCTATTTTTTCCCTTAAGAAATTCGAAAGTTTGAAATAGGGTCACACGTTTACAAAAAGGGACGAAAAACTTTGTAGTTTTCACACCTCGATTTCTTTGGTTATTGTAAGCCAACCAAAAAAGTTTAAATATGGATACAAAGAGTGAAGGATTGTTAAATAAATTATAAACACTGAATGTTTATTATATGTGCTTTTTGTCCATTTGTTTGATGAGTTGTCGCTTAGTTTTTAGATGACAAATAAGAAATGTATTTTTGCTTTCTGTGGAGTGTAAGATGTGAGTATAGGAGAGTATAGGCAAGGTAAAAATAGGAAGTTATAAACAAAACAATTGCTAATCGAACCCTATCAATACTTTTTGCACGTTTTTGCACGTTATACGTAAAACCTCCATGTTGTAGTTGCATTCGAGTTCTGTCACTACACATTGCTTAATGTTTGTATCGGCAACAACCGGCAACAAACCGCTGTGATGGAATTTGTTTTGCAAACTATGAACGGAATCGAATTAAGCGATAGTCAGCACACAATAGTCAAAAAAAATTAAGCAGATTGTTGCCTTTTTTAGTCGTAATTTGCCAAAATGTCATAGAATAATAGACCGATTCAAGGAAGAACATTTCCTGCGGCTTTCGTCGAACATGAAAATTTCATTTTTGGAAAAGGGCTTGCCAAGCGACAAACCTGGTCGCAAATGCCTAACTTCTAATGAGGCAGGACCACGATTAAAGCGTAAGGTGGCATCTCAATTGGCGAAAGAAAAGAAAATTCGATGCCATTAATTTGGCATGGTGCTTCTTTTTGGCAAAAAATATCAAACAAGAAGATACTTCAGTTTTGTTGCGAAAGGCGTTAAATATGAAATATTTATTAACAAATTCATTTTTTTATATCCTTGCCTTTAAAAGTAAATATGCGGCGTTGGCGGTTGATGGAGACTTGGTCCAATTCAAAATTTAACAAAAACAGAAATTGTATTACAGTTACCAACACAAACAACATTTTCTTTAAATCCTTGCCTTCAAATGTATATCTGCGGCGTGGGCGTAGGATGAATATGTGGTCCGATTCAAAAAGCAACAAAAACCGAAATTACATCTTAGCCTTAAAAGTATATAACAAAAATTTTAGATTTGTATCTTTAAAACTGGAGTTAATGCCTCAAGGACTGAATATTTGCCCATAGTGCACTGTATACAAAAAATATTTTTCATATGGGTCCTAGAATTTAGTGTGGTTTCTTTTAGTGTAACGCCGAGGATCTAACTCCCAGTCCGAGTTTCCCGTTATGCTGACTCAGTGGGCGGGTTTATTTTGGGGGTAGTAGGGGTTTTGGGGGTCTGTTGTCAACTGGTTAGCCTGGTTATGTGCATATGGGAGTCGATTGGTGCCATAGCCAAAGGCCCAGAGCGTCAGTTTATGTGGCCATAAGGCTTATAAATAGCCCAAGTATGCGACATGTCTTGTGCATTTCAAGCGGATTTTTGTTACGTTTTTTTGGGGATCCACTGGCCCTGCGATAGTGGGCTAAAAAACGTACTAGATAGCTACAATTGATTTTATTTTTGGATATTTGCAAGATTGCCGAAGGGGAGCAAAGGATTTTATGAGTCATCTGTGTGTAATAACAGATACAAACATCAGAAGAACTTGAATGCGGTAAAATAAAGTAGGGAAAATAAGTGGAATGTACTGAGGAAATGGTAAGAGTTTAAAGTAAAGGAGGTCATTGAAAAGTCTCTCAAATAATGATTGCAACCTTGTGTCTTCTAGTTGCAAAACATTACAACGTAATGTAATAGGAAGTTGCAAATGATAGTGGATAATGCACAATAGTAACACAATCTATCGGATAATGGCACACTAAACCAGACGCTGATGAGTTGTTAGTAGCTAGTAAAACTAGTACACGGCCAACTCCCCCCGACGACCATTTCACTCACAACATTATTGGGAAAAGTGTGTGCTCTGCACAAGCAAATGGATTGCTTATCCATCCCCGTACTACTAAGGAGCAAACTTAAGTGCAATATACTCAAGGAGTAGTTCAACATCTGGTCAGCTCACTTGGAAAAAATCGCAGTAGATAGGTGGAAGACAAAGACCGAGCAAACAAAAAAAGAGGGAGGAAGGCAGGGAAGCCGAAAGCGAAGCCATGACATGTTACTTAAATGAGCAACTTTGTTGGAAACAATGTCGACAGCGTCTAGACTCGGAACTTGGGACCCGGGACTCGGGACTCGGGAATCCTGCGACAGGCAGCAGGACAACAGCTCCCACACACTTAGGTGGGTGGGATACTTTCGGGTGGTTGATGAAGTAGTAGGGGTAGGTGTACGAGGTAAATGTAAACTGACAGTTACGAAGAGGACTGCGAGAAAACCTTCCTAATGGGCTGCCTTTGTGGCCAATACCCTGGCAGAGGATATTATAATTTGCCTCGACGTTGCAATATCGTGAAGAAGATGTAACTTACACTATAAAGTATATCTATATTATTTATCAGTCAAAGGATATTGGTTATCCTTTCTTAAAAACACTGGGATATCGGAAACTACAAGTTCTTATTACTTATGGTGTTAACTACGAATTTTATTTTAAATCGTTCTTGTTTTTTGATATCTTTTATTATTTCATTTGCTTAAGGCCCCGTAGCTTTAGCTAAGTTTAAGTTCGTCTGTAAATTTTACATTATAGTCGAACACTTTATAATAATAATAATAATTATTTCAAAATTCAAAAATTATATTGATGCAATATTTGTATCATATAAAATGTTAATACTAATAAGGGAACTTAAAAAGGAAAACATATTTAATAAAATATTTTTTAAAAGGGTTTCTACTTAAAAGGTGTCATATGATCCACTTATTTGTTAGGGTATCCTAAGCTTCGATCTTTATAGTTACCGTTCTTTCTTATTGCCTCTGTAGTTGTTGCGTTGTCGGCTGCAACTTGAGTGAAGTTGGCAGAAACAACAAACTGCAGCAACAACCCAAAACAACCACAACAACATTGGCAATAACAACAACCACAAGGACAAAAACTTGGCCAGAAAAGCAGGAAAAATGTTGTGGGTGTGTGCCGAACGCAGTTTCCCATTGCATTTTTCGTCTACTTTGAACTTTTGCCGAAAAAGAGAACAAAAACAAAAAGAATGGGAGAACCCACGTAGCTTTGGCCATCTCTTTCACTCAGAGTATAGCTCTCTCTTTCGATTGCTTACCCTATTCGGTTGCATTTTGTGCACTGTAATCACGCAATCATGTTGCCCACTTCTGAACTCTTAATGGCAATCGGTGTAAACGTGCGCACAACTTTTCCACCACCCCCCAGATCCCCTCCCCCTATCAGCTTTTCCACCCGCTTTTCCCACTGCCCTGTTATCCAGCAACACAATGGGTTTACGATGGTTACTCGGAGCTCCCTTGGAACTCCTCTTTCCTTCTGTAGGTGGACATAAATATTTATCTTTTGGCAAAAACTTGCTTGATATTTTAAACCACCCCCTGTTCTCCGCCCGATCCTTCCATCTTCCCCATGTGCTGTTGTGATGTTTGCCCTGTACACATAGTTTTCTTTAGCCGTTTCCAGCAAAAACTTGGCAATGTTCGGTAACAATTTCTGCATAAATTACAGAGCTGCAACATCAAGCGGTTGTTTGGCTTCTTCAGGCGGCGAAGGAGGTGCTCCAGAATCATTGCAATTGCAGCTGGATTACTCGAAGCGAACTTGTGTAAATGGTAGGACTTGAGATTACACAAGAGAAGGACATAAACGGGTGTGATTCAGAGAAGATTTTATCCATCAGTACAAGCAAAAAGGTTCCCTATAAAATTCAAATGATTTCATGGGGTATTGGATGTAGATCCAAATGAGATCTTTCTCAAATGATCTTAAATATTTAGGAAATAATAAAGAAATTCCTTAAAAGAATCGGTTTCTAATTAGAAAAGTTTTTACACCTTTTGTAATGTTTAAAGTTTATTTTAAAAGTTAAGATTATTTCTATCTTTTATTATTTTTTAATACAATCATTTTTAAGTAAATAAAACTCAATACAGTTTAAATAGCTATTTAGTAATTTTAGCCAACCTTTACCAAGTTAAATTCCTAAATGACCCCTCATTCCTTAGTTCAAGCTTAAACCCTTTAATCTTTATCCTGTTTTCCTCGCAACCATCGATGTGCCCTCAAAGTGTCAGAGAGCTGGAAAACTTCGCCATAGTCTTTGTCAGTCGTTGGGCCATGCAAAGCCAAAAACCGCAGCACAATAAAATATTTCGCAGCGCATGGTTGGAAATGCAGTGGAAAATACTCAAAATGAAATGCACAATCAATGCGACACTTGGCCAAAAAGTTCAGACACTTTCCCAGCAGCAGCAGCAGCATTCCGGAGACAAACAACACCGACAACGGCGACAAAGTAAAAATGGATATATATATTTGGATTTATGTGCGAGTATGCACACAAAGAACAACTCCAACTCGACACGTTAAATTAAAATGTCACATAAATCTTTGCGGGAAATTTCATTAAAATACGCTTACAGCATAGAACGCAATGAGGAAAGCCCGAGGATTGTCCCAGAAAAAGAAAGGGACAGGGATGGAATCCGATGGAGCAAGTGCCAACCGCCCACATAGCCGCAAAACTTTGCACTTGTAGCGAAAAGGCCGGCCAAAGGATTTTTGGACTGCGGAGAGGGATCAACTTGGATAGTCCTTGTCGGGCTAACTGGTTCAAAAATGGAAATTTTAATGGAAAAACTTGCAAACGCAAAATGGCAAGTGGTGACCCCGATCTTGAGACACGAGGTACGAGTTTGCAAATGTTTTCGCAGACATGATAATTTCAAAAAGAAACTTGAAACTTGTTTGATTTTTGATTAAAAGTAGAACTTTGTCTGAAACTTTGTGTTGACCACTCTAGGGACTGGAAATCAAAGAATTATTTTTTAAAGAGTAGGAGGCGTAGATGTTTTAAAAAGTTTAATAATTTTTTAGAAACAGCTAAAATCATTAATATGTTAAATTAATAATTTAATTATATAATTATTTTGTTGTTAGACTAATGTCATTAATTCTTATTGAAATGAATAGAAATTTTTAAGAAATTTTGTGTAATAATTTTAAAGAATTCGAATTTCAATTAAAGAGATTTCTTCTCTGCCCAATTTCCAAAACAAATGTTTTAACAGGCATTTAAAAAATGGATTATTAATACGGTAAAAATAAACTAAATAAACTAACTAACTAAACTAAGTAAAATAAACTAAAATTCACTAGAAAAATAATAATAATATGTGCTTATAGTTCCAGATAAATCCAATATTACAGTCATCTGAAGCTTTGAAATCTTCTGTCTCTCAATGTAGACAAATCTCTAGACAAAAGTGGATAATATGACAAACACTCGCGTCGAATGCCCAATGAAATGCATGGAATTCCTAATGCCTACCTGGGGAAATAGAGGCGCACAATTTCGCCGACATGTCCTTTGATGTGGTAGCTGCAGGACGTATTCGGCGGATACCAGTGGGCGATGCTGAGGAAGATGCCCTCGCTGGCGCTGCTGTCTTTTAAAGAGTCGGAGCTCAGGAGCCAATCGCAGACGCCGTGCTTGATCCCGGCCGTCTCCACATGTCCTGGCCAGTTGCCAACGTTGAAATGGAAGCCTGTATTGAGCAGCGGACCCGCCGGCGATGTCACAAACTCCACATACATGTATTGTGATGTGCCTGCCGGATATGCAAATTGTTTAGATCAACTCGCTGGGTCTCTTGCCATTCAAAACTCACCAATAATACTGAATGGGAACTTGCCCAGGCCGCAGAACTTTCCTATCAACGGCGAGTGCTCGTCGCGTCCATCGTATACGGCCAGCCAGTCGTAGGGACAGTGCTCATTACCCGAACCAATCGGTCTGATCGGACAGGTCATCACATTCTCACATCTGCAATATATAGAGGGGAAAGGGTCACTCTTTGATTACTGGCTTCTTTGTTGCATTTATGAAAGCGTCGAAAGGGTAAATTTAATTTATCCAGCGCCGACAATTCAATAAAAAAGCATAGTGAAAAACTGAACAATTAAAAAACTCACGTTCCACAAATAACGAAGAAAATAAAAGGCGACAAAAAGCACGGAATAAAGAGTAAGGCTGGCAATTGAATAACTGACTGAGTGCTGATGCTTTTAGTGCCCGGCGGAAATCCGTGAAAAAATGCTGGTAAAACAGGGGTGTTGGCCAAAAGGGGGAGATATGTAGCTGGGGAAAACCTTTGGTTTTACTGATATTTATGGGAAAATATAAAAAATACAGCTGGATTTAGTATAAAATAAAATCCATAAGAATTAAAGTTTTAAATAAAATCTTAAGAGTGGATTTTAAATTGTAACTTTGGGATATAAAACCTCTTTAAAACTTTAACAAAATTGCAGTCATTTAGGGGGATTAGTTGACTTGTCTTTTTGGCAAATGCTTTTAAAATGGACTTGAATAAATGATTGGTGAGCTTCATAACTTAAGTGCTCGGCGCCCATGGTCATGACATTCATTTGCACTTTGCCAGCCCGAGGCAATGAAAAAAAAAAGAAAGTTCTCACAGAAAAAGCAGGAAAAAAGGCGGCGGAAAATCCAAAGCGTCTGTTTTGAAGCCTTTTCTAATTTCTTGCGTCAGACGGTCGAGGATGCTTTTAATTTTTTGCTGGCCGTCTGGTCGAATGGCACATAACCCTGACTCTTCAGGTCGAAGGACTGGGTCCAGACAAAGTGACCTTTGTGCCAGGCCATCGCCCATTGGCCATTTTCCATTGATGTTAGCCACGATGACGAACGGGGATTCACAATTTTTGCTTCCCCCTGGCGGAGCAGACTGATTGGTATTGGTGGGCATTTCAAAAGGCAAATGAAATGCCTCTCACCTGTGTGTGCGAACTTTCTAATTGAAAGCTAACTTTGGCAATTACCAACTGAACTTTAATCAAATAGAGACGCCCAGTGAGTCAAAGCCAAAGGCAGTTGAATGTGATTCGGCCGTTGAAACAAAAATAGCAATTTAATTGACAGTTCCATTGAGCCTTTCTGCTTTCTCTGCCTTTTTTCGTCCTTTTTTTGACCAATCGCTAGAAAGTTTTTGAAAGAAGAAACTTTTGACCAACTTTTTTGTATCTATATCCATCTATACGTAGCAGATAGATAGATAGATTTCTATTAGCTAGTCGGTCCGTTTCAGTCAATTTAATCACTTTGTCAGCAAGTTTTTCTCCGAGTCTGCGAAGAGCTAATCCAACTTATTGATAATAAATGCGTTGTTGGCCAGAAAGTTGATTACACAAAAGAGAGAGAGGGGACAGAGAAAATGACTGTTTAGTCTGGGGGGGAAAAACTTTTTCCTTTATCCCCCTCTCGGAAAACCAGCACACACATATCAAAAAAGAGGAAAGAAAAGCGTAGCGTAAGGAAAAAAAACATCAACTGACTGGTAATAATTTTGGCATATTAAAAAACTTTTTTACTCGATGACTTTTGCATTTGTTTGGCATCCGGCCGTCGAAGTTTTGCCGACTGAATTTTTAAGCTGTGATGGCAGAAATATTTTTGGTATAGCGCAAAGAAATTAGAAATGTTGTTGTGGGTTGTATTTTTTGACAGCCAAAGGAGCTGTGCAATAAACTGAAGTGATTTATAAAATAAAATAGCGGCAACACGAGTGGAACTTTCTGCTGACTTGGCATCAATTTCGGTGCCGAACAGGTCGGGTTTTATGAACTGGATTTATGGAAGATTTATACAAGGCTTAGGCGGATTATGTTGATTGTTCAGATCTGGAGAGAGAGCTTTATGCCGGCAGGAACTCCAATATTTGATTATTGATATTGTAACTGGATATTTTTAGGGTTTCTAACTTCGATGATATTTTTCTTCTACTTAAATCATCCCCTATGAAATGCCCAAGTAAACAGCATTTAAGTGAAGTTCTCCCTCTTCGTTCCCAGGAAAATCATTTAGAGTCCCAACTTTCCACCATGATTAGCTCCTTGGCAAAAGGCTTGTTTGTCTAATCCTTTCCTGCACACCGAAAGTAACTTAGACTTGCAAATTAATACACACTTTGGGGGGATTGAAGCTCGAGTTTTACCCCGTTTTTAACCCCTACTCTTCAGTCAGCTGCGGAACCCAACTCAAAGTTGGCAACTTTGACATGCGTCTGTCGTTGTCGTCCTTTGCCATTGGACTTTTCAAAAGGTAAATATTCAAATTGAATCTATAAAAATAAATTGAATGTTGCTTATCTAATTCCAACTTGCTGTTGCTTGATGTGCACGTGCTGCAGGGCTGGAGAATCTGAATCGGAATGGTAGATGGCAGATGGATTGGGGATGGGGATGGTCCAGGGGAAATATGCTGACTCCAGAATTTGCACATCAAACAGGCTTAAAGATACTCGGCCACTTCTGCCGGCCATTTGTGCTGGGAATGTGCAAAGTGTTAAAAGCTGAAGGTTTTTCCCACCCGACCATAAAATCCCCAAACGGAAAGGAGCAAGGAGCTTTGGCCCCACCCTCGTTACCCCGAGTTCATGATAAAGCAAATATTTTGTGAAAGGTCATTTCGGTTAAGCAAATGTAAATTGTATTTGTCGCGACAAGGCAGTGGGGTGCGTCCAGGGGGGATTTATGCCCTCTTGGCCGGGAGTTGGCCCGTAATAAAATATTAAAGTTCTGATTTAAGCCGAAAAAGGTTTTGCAGGTGCGTCAGCAAATGAGTTTTGCCTAAATGGCCAAGGGAGAATTCGTTTGAAGTTGAAGGTTTCTTCAACAGAACATTTTGGAAAATAACAAGAACATTTTCAGGAGAAAAACTACAAAAAAGAAACCTCTATTTGCTATTTTCTGTTAATATTTGACTGGGGTTTTATAAAACAATTTCTATCTATTATAAAAATGGTATAATCTAAACAATAATTTTATTATAACCCATTTTCAACATCTAATTTGTTTTATAACAATTTTAATTTCTTTAATGATTTCATTTCATAATTTCGTGGCTTGTTCTTTTAAATCCACCAAGGTAATATTAAAAATTTCTTAGATTTTCACATTGAAAAAGTCAAAGGGAAAGATGTAACCGAAGGTGGGTGAAATCGTTTTTCTCCTCAGACAATTTCATCATTTTGGCATTAATAATACAAGACAGCCATGGCTGCAGGCATTCCCCACCCCTACACCCCCCATTTTATTCGGCACAATCGAGGGCAACCTCACTCAAAACGTAATCCTTTAGCCAATTTTGCCAGACACAAACACAGAGACGCCGAGTCACAGATACAGATTCTGTGGATTCGGAAAGTGACGCATACAGATACGGTGAGTGCACGAGGACATGTCGCCAACGTTTTCCAGCAAATTGGTGCCAATTTTTGCGACGAACGCTCTGTCAAATTGTCATTGTCAGCATGCCAAATGCATTACAACAACAACAAAAACGGGGGCAACAACAATGTTTTTGGGCCAAATGTCGTCGAATTCTGTGGATTGTGCAATCGCCGTGCCAAAATGACAAATTACAGGGTGTTGCATTTAACACTAATTTCGTTCCAAAAAAGAAAACCCAGCGAGAATAAATGGAGGTAAAATAAATTTGCATAAATAAAGTGAACTTTTTTTTAAATTTCAGTAATAGACGAGCTTTGATGGAAAGACTAAAAGTCAGACACCATTTTAATTATATTTCTGCCAGGCCGATTAGTTCATGTTGCAATTTGTTCACTAATGCTAATCCGATTGTAATACAAATTAACATAAACGCATAATCATTAATCAAATTATTGTATCTTTTTGTTGCAGGCAATCTATTACAAACTCACCTCTGGCCATCCACAGCGAACTGTTCATTCTGCAGATACAATTTAATATACGGCTGGCGGGTGTGCAGCTTATAGCGACAGTTCAGGGCCCGAGGATATAGGCCAGGATACGCAGGGGATTGAACATAGCAGGTCTGCAGGCGGCAATCCCGATATTCTCGTTCGCAATAGGATCTGTTGGAGGAAGGGAAAGATATATCTAAAGTAAGTATATAAAATCATTGAATTACAGGCTTGGAAATATTTAATCTAATTTGTTGCAAATTGGTTATATCACTCAGGCCCCAGCCCCGATAAATGTTTGCCCCAGAAGGCGTCCTAAATGATCCGGAGAACTTTTGGGGTTCGTTTGCCCAGTCCTTAAACTGCGTCAAGGAAGCCAGAAAATTGTGTTCACTGATTTGGAAATTCCTGTTCCACTCGCTCACACATTTCTCTGCTGTTTTTTTTTCGAGCTTGTAAAATTGTTGTTAAATTACAACAAAAGATTGTGTAAAATTCCTATTCCTCTTCGAATTTTTTGCGTGTAATTTTCAATTTGTTTAAGTAAATAAACGGAAAATCATTCAAAGGCGAGGCTAGCGTAAATATGATTACCATTTTTATTCCCTTTACCCTCAGTCCCGACCCTCTTCTTCCCTATTCCCAACCCCCAACCCCCTTCACTTTGTCTTTGGCAATTTGCTTTGGTTTGGTTCCTCAATTGCGTTTGGGTTTTGGCTTTGGTGTCGAAGCGCGCGTGACCGCAAAATTAGCATAAAAATCATATTGGCCATGTGGGTTGATGGGGATAGGAAGCGGGAATTTCCCCGGTTCCCAAGGGGGGGAGGTCCTGGTGGTCGCCTTTGATGGGATCTTAAAGAGCTAGCTCTTGATGCTAGTTAAAGTGGAAAAATGTTGGCCAATCAATTGGTTTAAATGCGAGTAAGGGTGCTCGAGTAGAGCAGCAATTCAATAAATTCCTGTGGCAATTTGCTATTCAGAGCAACTATTTCATTTTGATTTTAATATTCACCAACACGATTTTTATTCTGGGATAATATTTTTTTAATTATCAAGGCTTTTTGAAGCCTTTCTGAAGTGATTTTTACAATTTCCTGCTTTTGTATCATCTAACGATTTTATTTTATGTCGAATATTCCTGCATATTTCAATGTAAATTGATAGCCTCACCATGCTATCTAATTGCTATATTTATTTTCAGGTATCTGATTCTTGTCTAAATGTTTTTGGCAAGAGTTTTTTATTATTATTCCTTGTCGAATATTTCAAACTTTTATAAGGGAAAATCATTTTATAGCTGTGACTTTTAAGACTATTTAAAAAGAAATTAATAACAGCTCTTGCGATTTTATTTCTCGTTGAATTCCCTTCGTTATGCCTACATTTTTCAAGTACCATCTGCGATGGCAAGTTATTTGAGAAAAAAGCCTACTCGAAAAGTTTATATTCACAGACTTTTGCCTCCCCCACCATCTGCCTGCATATGCACAAATATCATTTGAGTAAATCTAGCATGTTCCTCCCCGCCTCGTTACTTGCAGCCAAATCTTTGCTTAAAACTTGCAACTTATTTTATTAAGATAAAAGTTAGACTGGCAGAGCCAAGGAATATATATACAGAAAAAAATGGAAACTCCAAAGAGAGAATCAAATAAAATTTAATGTCTGCAAAGTTTTATTTTTGTCAGGGTTTCGGGTGGGAGGTGTTTCCATTGCTTCGTGCCCAACGAAATGAATTCTTCTCTTCGGTTTCAATTGCCGACTTTTTCAGCCATCCTTCAGGCGTAAGGAAAATCCGCCCTCGTTTTCCCCGCTCGCGAATTTTATGTTTGCCGCAGTGCAGAAAGCACAAGTAATTCAATTTAATGCGACCTTCTGTTGCCGGATTTTCTCCTCTGTTTTGTGACTCGTATATGATTATGAAATGTGCCAGCGAATCGAAGACAAGGACCCTGTCTGAAGTGGCCCGTCAAAATATGCCCCCATTTGTGTAATAAAATTGAATTAACGCCGGGGCTATAAAATCGCCAGAAAATCCTCTTTGAAAACCCATTTGATTACTCGTTTTTTCGGCTACTCACCCTTGGACAACTTCGCCGCGACGATTTGGATATAATTCCGGATGTTGGCCATATCGCAGATAGACTTCGGTTTGTTGTTCCGCGCGTGAATCGAATGTGAAGTAGGTCTGCAATGGGAAGATACAGAGAAAAGTGCGGGATGAGTGGACAATGGCTGAAAATCACGTATACGCAGTGTGTGAGCCCACCCATTTGCCCATTCCCCCAATCCACATCCCTCTGCCCGCCATTGTTGCTGATGAATTTTGTCAATTTCCCTCCAACTTGGCTCGACGTCAGACAATTGCGTGTTTTCGCCCCCGAACCCGCCCACTTTTCCGCCCGCTTTTCATTCCATGGCCTGCCACATGGAAATGTGCAATGTCATTTGCCCTGCCACGCCCACACAAGACTGTGAGTTTCCCTGAGCCTCTGCCATCCTGTTTGCCTGTTGTTCCCCTGCAACGGTTGCCGTTGCCGTTGCCGTTGCCTCATCAGCGCTAATGACGTGCTGCAGTGACGTAGGCAGCTGCCACGCCCCCTTTCACCTCAGACCGCCCACACAGCTGGAAATGGAAATGGCCAAAAGAAATGAAGTGATAGAATGAAGGGGAAAAAGGCTGGGGTTACGAAAGGCTAACGAACCAAGATGCCAGAAAAAATATATTTCTGAATAATAATTGTTGCAAATAAATGAATGCGGCTCTTTTATTGTGCACCCTTCAATTTAACACAATTATTTTTAAATTTAATTAAATTGTTGAAATTCCACAGAAGCGAAAAAAAATTACTTAATTAAAAAAAAAATAATGTGGATTTTTGTTTCTTCCATATAAAAAATAATGTAGATTTATTTCTGCTATTTAAAGTTTATGATAAAAATTTGTCCAATCCTTTAAAAAAATCTTTGATTTTTTAATGGCTTTAAAACATTTTAAGTGTATTTAAGGCTACTTATTTGGGTAAAAAAACATTTTTAATTAGGTTGATACACAATATTTCTAAAACCTTTTCAGTAGTGTAAACTTTGCTTTTCAAACACTAGTTATTCAAACAAATAAACAGGATTTGTTCCACAGCGTTTACCAACTCGATAAGCTAAACAAAAGCAATGATTATTGCCAATTTGTGAGCTTTGATTCGATTTGGTTGCTAATCGAATTCATGCTGCACCATCCCCAAAAAACATTCATTTCAATTACGGATATCGAAGTCGAAATTATCGACAGACAGCCACAAAAGCGATTTCCTTATGCGCCGCCCCATTTCCACCTGCCGCGAAGTCAACGTCATGGTTATCAATTCGCCCCGTTCCCAAATCGCTCCACCGGCCTTGATGGCCACATAAACCTCGTTGGCCATTTTCCATCGAGGGTATTTCAGGAGGATTCGGGTGGTTCGGGGTTTTCGGGGCGAACGGAATTGGTCGGGGGCTCTGGGAGGGGCGTAATGCACATGTCAATATTAAATGCGTTACCGGCGTCAATGACGTTAGCGCCACTTAACGATGTGAACAATGGCAGACGCAGGCTCGTTTCGATTTATCCAGATGCTGTTCACGTGGCTACCTATCCGCTCTGGCCACCCCAAAAATATCTCCCAAAAGCTGCAGTCTGCTCTTCTCGAATATGTGGGTAGATGCCAATATATCGGAGTTTACACAGAGGGAAAATATTTAAAGAATTTAAAATGCAAAATCACCTAATTAATTTTGTTCTTTCAGGTTTTAGACTTTTTTATTATAATCCACAAAATATATAAAATACCTCCTAGAAAATCGATGAAGTCTTAATAAAAATATCTGGAAAAACCAATGATTTTACTTATAATCTGAATTCTACAAATTAGTACAATTATTGCAAAAAAAGTAATTTAATTGATATTTTAATCTTCAAAATATAAACTTTTCCAAACTAACAAAAATTTACTTTTTGAGTTATATTAAAATGGTTTTGGAATTATTTGATAGACCATGCAAATTCGATTAAGAGGTTATTCTGAAACAACTGGATTTTGTTATAAATACACTAAATTATAAAAAGATTTTGTATTCCCCGAAAATCAATCCAGGAATATTCTCATGCAAAACTTCTCCCTGTGCAGATTTTGAACGGATTGAATATTTTGAAAAGTGGAGCTCTGCTGAACCCGATTCGCATTCGATGATGGCGATAATGATGATGGCGGTGGAGATTATGCCGATGATGTCCACGGTCGTCCTACCGTTAATGTTCTGACAAATTCGCGCTCGAATAAATTAAAATTTCAAACTGATTTGTTGCCGCCTGCTCTTTGGCGTCCCGTTTTTGTGAAATTATTTTTGATTTATTTCGCATGGAATTTATGTTAATGCGAATGCGAAATTATTTCGTTTCCTCTGCCGTCGCAAATGCTGTGCTGTGCTGTGCTGTCCTGTCCTGTCCCTCATTAAATCGTGTTATTACATTGCCAGAGCTGTCGCTTATTTTTATTTATTACTGAATAAAGCGCGCCTCACCCGCCGATCCGACGCACTCGCGCCGAATAAGTGGCAAAAAGTTCCCGTCTGCTTGGCGGAAAAACAAAAAGCGAGAAAAAGGAATACAAAGCGCAGCATCCGCCAACTTTCAACTTGCAACTTCCAGCGAGCTTGGAGAGTTTTCATAAATATTTATGACTCCATTAAGGTGTGCATAAGACACACTCTGGAGGGTGTCCTGCCCGTCCTGCCTGTCCTGCTGGAGGACCCCCAGTTTTTTCCCACCCCCTCTAGTTTGTCTGCTCCGGAGCTTCGAGCTTGGAGCACTCATTCATGGCTTTAGTCGGTTGTTTGTGTTTGCACATCCCTGCAACTTGTTGTAAGCCGGGCCATAAAGCCAATCGCCTGCATTGACTACGCACTGCGAAAAGAGGGGGCAACTATTTGGCTTTGGGATTGAATGGAATAGGAAGGCTTGAATGGAGTTATGGATATTCAGTGGAATGTGATTTTGAAGGTTATGGCATTATGATGAAATGGGGGAGATAGAAAATTGGTTTGCCGATTTCCATGAGCAAATTCTCAACTGAAATGAGTAAATTGTGGCAAAATATCCTTAGGTTAATAATTCTATATAAAATAAAATTTATTAAATGTCCATTCATTCTTTCTGAACTAAAATTATGTATAGAATTTCCTTAGTAAATTATCCTTAGGATAATAATTTTCAAATAAAATATAATTTATTAAAATCCCCTTAATTCTTTCAAATTTTAAAGAAGATAACTATTTCCTCACCACATTTTCCTTTTGAAACGTTAATCAAGAAAAGAGATTACTTTCTTTGCCACTTCCGCGTCTAATAACAAGCTTTATTGTCTCATTTCTTTTGGGTATAATTTCCCTCCATCTGTTACCATCTGCAAGCCATGCATATTTCAAGGGTCTTCCTTCCTTCCGCCCTCTCGACAAAAAAATCTCCATTATAAATATTGAAATTCTTTATGTGACATAAAGAACTTATCTTTCATTTTATAAATGCAAATACCGCATCAAAAACGCAGCAGCCAAGCAGTTGACAAAAAAAGAAAACAAAAATACAGAAAAAAAACAAAGTGAGGAAAATCAGAGGAAAAATAGCAACGAAAAGCGAACGGGGCCAAAGCTAAATAGAATTCAAGTTGTGAACTGAAAATTCACATAGATATGCGTCGAAATATATATATAATCTGGTGTGTTTGTATATACATATATATCAGCAGGAGGAGACTGACGGCGCCAGCCAGCCAAAAAGGATGCAGGAGACAGGACGCAGGACACGCCGACAGACGGAGGCCAGACAACAGTGCAGTCCACCCACGCCATAGACGCTCGACCCACTCCTGAATAATGCATGCAAAAATACAGAAAAGGGGAAAAATAAATATAAGGAAAAATAGAAAAAAAGTAGGAAAAATAAAGCACACTCACACAGACTGGTAGTTGTATGGAGTATCTGTGTGTATAACTCTCGCTAAGTGCGAAAGTGAGTTGCATAGATGCAACCGAGCAGATAGAGCAACACGGGTCAGGACATGGCAGCAGCAGCAGGAGCAGGAGCAGCCCAGCCCAGAGCAACCAAGCCAAGCCAGGCCAACAGGGAGCAAAAATGGAGGGCGCACCGGGAAAAGCGGGAAATGGAAAATGGGAAATGGGGGCCGACAGGAGTGAAAAGGGCGAAGACAGGCTGCCAAGACTTGTGTGCTGTAATATTTTCCTTAAATTATGTGATAAATATAAATATACAGACATTTATATACGGACACTGAGCGAAATCTATGTCTAGTCTATTGAACATTTGAAATTATAGATTCGTCTAAATAGTAAATGCAAAGTTAGTTAAAGCATGAAATATATTTAAGTAATCTCAAGTTTGTATTTACAAAAATAAAAAGGTTAGTAAATTTCAAAAAAGTTAGAAAAATATTTCTTATAAGCCTTTATTCAAATAAAAATTCTAAAAATGCCAAAAACCGATATCACTATGGACGGCAGTCCATGTAGTGACGAAGCGCACCAGGAGAGTGTGCGAAGGCGACTACTATTATATAGCCGCAAAATTGAAAATCTGCTGTGATAGTCCGATCGTAATGAGTAATACACCAATCGAAAGGTATTGCAAAAACTTAAAGGATTGCATACCAAGACCTCAAGAAAATCAATTGGTTTGGGAAAGAGAGCGGTGAAAGTGTAAAAGTGAAAATTTAGAAATTTGGATCTGATGGGGCCGTTGGGGATAAATGCCCCCTCGCAATGTTTTAGTAGTTTTTCTATTAAAAATTCCCGTCGAATGAGGGGTCATATGATAAAATCCGACGCTCCGTTCAAAAGTTATAGCCAAAATAAGATTTTCTTCTTCTTCCCAAAATGAAATAATTTGTCCCTTTGTTTGTGGGTATGCATCAAATCGTGGTTTTAGGATCCTGTACTAAATTTTACTGTGCTTAGCAGCAGGATATGAACAACGTTTGTTCTACAACTTTTGGAAAACCCGCTAGTTTGGCGGGAAATCATTGAAAAAGCTAGATTTTGACGGCTTATAGTTTCTAAACGACCAAAGCTACAGACTCGTGCTACACCTCGTTAAAAGGTAATTTAAAATGCTAATCGCGTTGCCTTGGGTAAAATTGGCTTAATGCAATAGTTTAAAATGTATGGCTAAAAGTTGTTTTTCTAAATCACTTTTTAGCTATTTTCTCAAAAACGGCTCTAACGATTTTCTTTACAACTTTAAACTGTATAGCCCTTGAGATTCCTTAAATTTTGGTATATAACACATTACTGTAAAAGTCACGTTTAAAAGTTATTTTTATACGAAAATAGCCACTTTTGCCAGCTCGAACTACTAACGCTCCCTGAGTATTGAATTTTGTGTGAGGGTATACGAACTGTATTTTGGGGTCATGGAATCAGTAAATTTGCACTTAAGAGTTCCATAAAGGAATCTTTTGTTCTACGACTTTTGGAAAAGCCGCTACTTTAGCGGGAAAAGCTAAAAATAGCTAAATTTCGTTAGTTTGTAAGTTCAACACTACTGAAGGTACAGACATGTGCTAAAACTCGTTTAAAAGGTATTTTGATATACTTCATCGCCTTTTGACTTAATTCGTTTAAATACAATGGCTTACAAATTATGATTGACCAATTTAAATTTAAATGTATATATTAGCTCCTATGAGAGCAAATGTAAACAAACAAAAACTTCTGATATCAAATAAAAACACCTCTTAACGAGGTAAAAACTAGTGACGATCGCACCTTCAACATACAAAGTTCTGATATCAACATTTGTGACGAAAATTTATTACACTCGTCATTAAATAGACTTTCTAATATTTTTTATTCGGCACGCTGCAATAGAAAATGCCTGTAAAGGGAAAAAGGCTGGAATAGTTTGCTAGGGCGGGCCGAATGAGAAAATATTAGAAAGTCTATTTAATGACGAGTGTAATAAATTTTCGTCACAAATGTTGATATCAGAACTTTTGTATGTTGAAGGTGCGATCGTCACTAGTTTTTTACCTCGTTAAGAGGTGTTTTTATTTGATATGTATAAGAAATAGAAAGTAAGCAAACGAAAAACTTAGAAATCTGGTTTAAAAATATATTATTCTTTCAATAATGGTCTTTAATTTTTCCTGGAAATTTACAAAAGCTTTCTAAAAAGAAAATTATAGTTTATGTTAAAGTAATGATCACTAAAAATTAGAAAGTATTGAAACTAATTAAAATAATTTGTTATCTTAAGAATCTTGACTATGAAAATACAAGTGTCCTATAAACATTTAGATCATCTTATGATTTCTAATATTCTACAACCCATTCTTAACTCAACCAATTTTCTCTCTCTGCAGATATATATCTAAAGCCCTAGAAATATGCAAGGAACCAGCAAAGGGGACTTTTGTTTATTAGTGTAAGTGGCAAGACTCTGGCGACAGAAGACAACAGACGGCAGAACTTCAAGGATGCCTGTCTTTGTTGCTCCGGCAGTAATTGGAATTCTCTCCCGGCTGGAGCACAAAAATGAAAAGTCCCACCGAGATCCTGTATGAGATGACGAGCGAAGGAAAGAAAGTGTCCGGGTTGCCGGAACGCCGCCTCACCTGATCCGTAAAGTTGTCCGTGTGGAAGAGGACCTTCACATAGCTGGTCTCGCTGATGAATGTCTGCGGCTGTTCCGCCTCTCCGCAGAACATTCCTGGCTCCCTGCGATTCGAGACATCCGTCTTGGCATTGCCATCAACAATCTGCAACAATGGGAGGAGCGATTTAGTGTGTCGCATATGTCATCGCTTAGCGGGCGATATAAATTAGCCCCCTCCTGACATGAGGAGGAGATAAATCAAGAGTCGGCCAGCGGCCACACCCACCTGCAAATAGCCGCCGTCGCAGTGGGTCGCGTTCAGCAGCTGACCCACTTTGAACTTCTTGAACCGCAGACGCAGCACAAAGTCGCGGGGAGCTCCTTTCAGGGTTCGAAAGCGGTACCAGCAGGTCAGCGGACGTCCCACGTTCTGATTGCTGACCTCCGGCGAGCTGATGTCTTCGAAAATGTCCACCGTCTTGTTGCAGTGGTCCCTCGATACGTCCGACGAGCTGCCGCTGCCACCGCCACCTCCACCGCCTCCTCCGCCACCACCGCCTCCACCGCTACCACTGCCACCTGAAAATAAAATAAATAAATAAATAAGTTAAAATAAATATTAATATTAAATAAACTATTTATACTATAATCAATAAATTAATTAGGTACCTACATTTTATTATTTCAATTTTTAAATTGTATTTAAAGAAGATCAATTAATATTGACATGAATGAAAGAAGTAGTTTATTTGAAAAGTCAAACACGGTAGAACTTTCCAAACTCACATGAATCCCCATACTCTTCAGGTTTTGAGTGATGGAAGTTCCACTGTATATGGTCGTATTGTGATTGACTTATATAGAAAGAGGGCTAGTAATATTATACTAATTCGTATTAAGACCCAACTAATATTTTTAATAAGAAAGAAATTGGCACATATAAATTTATATAATAAATCGGATTTACATTTGACATTATAGATTAAAGTAACATAAAATAAAAAACGAATTCACCCACATTCAAACTGAAATCTTTTGATAAAAATCTTGTTGATGAACTTCCCCATTAACTAACAATGGGCTTCTATCTTCGACTTTTATCTCCCATTTTAGGTCCATGGAAACCTAAAGTCGTGCTCTTGATTTCCAGGCTAGATACCATGTGTTGTGCTTTTTGCATATCTCAACGAGGGATTTCAGGTTACTTTCATGTGGGCATGCTAAACCGCAGGACTAGGCTTATTAATCCCCAGCCACCGCTAACCTCTATTTTTATCTGGGGGCACAAAAAGCGAAGAGAAAACCAAGCTCAGAGCTCCTGCGGCCGTTTCTATTCATTGTGCTTAATTTATACAGCGAAATGCATAAATGACAAAAGGACATTGTGCTGAATTTGTAATTCAAGTCTGGCTGTTAACAATGCCACCCCCTTATGGTCTTTACTTCTAGGGGGTGACTCAAACCCCCTAACCCTCCACATGCAAAAGACGCAGACGTCGTTGTCCCTGACTGTGACAAAGACCGAAAAAAAGGAGGAGGGAAGGTCCTGCCACGCCCCCAGCGCCCACTTTAGCAGTCAAGGCGCGTAAAATTTTGAGGAGAACTCTGAGAAAGGAGGAGAGAACTGCGAACGGAGAATTGAGAACGGGAGGGGAGAATCGTGTCGAGAGCTGAGTTTTCGCGTCGAGTATTTGTGTGGCTTGGCTTCCTTATAAATTACCCCAAAAGGCGAGTGCAAGTCCTCGTCGAGGATCTTTTCGCCTATAATGCAAAAATATTCTGGTGCTCAACTTTTTAATCAGAGAAGCGAACTTGTTGGCTTTCGTGGGAGTTGGCAAACAAGGAGGTTACGTGACCAACATTTTTTGTTTTTATCAGTTTGCATTCCTCTGATTGTTTTGCTGTTTTATTATTTGCTTAACTTTTAGCCCGCTTTTTCTCAGTTCCCAGTTAAATTATGAATGACAAGTGCGACAGGAATACGGGAAATTTATCGGGTACAGTTGGGTACAAAAAGTCTCTTACTTTCCTCCTCGACTTTCATCGAGTGCTTTGCATAATTATAGTGAAGGAAGGATATCCTCAGCAGTCACACCTCTAATTGAATTGAGCACTTAATTATTGTGAGGCGAGCTTTTCGCTCGCAACAACATCAAAAAGGATTTAATTAAATGAAATATCATACACTTTCATTTGGATTAGAGCGGGGGAGCGAACCACAAGGGGGGGGTGGGGTGAGTTCCAACCTAAGGATATCGTTTCAAAGGGACCCATGCCTTTTGTGCAAATCGATACTCGCGAACGTACATCAGAATTTTGACGAAACGCAATCAGCTTAGCTGCAGGCAAACCCACGGAAAACCACCCATCCGGAACCACTAAAACCGCCAGCCAATATCGCCATCACCCGCGCGGCATGTGGTCTCGAGCTTAACAAGGATCCCCATCCTGTCCTGTGGGTTCCTTAAGCTGAAATCAAGAAGGATTAGGGGGTCGGGCCTCGGTGAATACTCCCCCCAAATGCTTGGTTTTCGGGTTGCCTGCTGCCTGATGGAAATCGCCGAAGGCGACAGGCGAGAGATGGCGAGATGGCGTCTAACAAATCTGTTTAATTTATCAGCGTTTCATTATGTAATACACATTCTATAGAAATGCCCCCCCGCTGTGTCGCCTCATTTATCCATCCCAACTGCTCTCGCCTTACTTTCCTGTGGTCGCCTGTCAAAGATAAACGGCAAGATTGTAGCTTCAAATTCAGCTTTTCGGTTGGTAATTAACGGTGGGCAGGGAAAGTTCGAGGAGATAGGAACGGCATCTAAAATTGGAACAATGGAAACTTGAGAAGCTTCCTTTTGCAGAAATTCCCAAGTGAAATTTAAGAAGTATGAAAAATTAATATAACAATTTATTAAATTCTTAAGGAGATATGCATTTGTAATAAACAATGGCTTCTTCTTCAAGACATCTGTAATTTGTTTAACTACAAGCTTTTTGCAAAAAAAATCGTTCCAAAATAATTTAAGCTGGTCAAACCTTTTTTAAATTCACAACTTTGTTTATTTCGACAACAAATAAGATCCGATTCATTTCTCATTAAATCTCTGAGGGTAATCTACCAGAGCAGCCCATAAATAAAGCCAGTTCCGCATTCCCAAATGTCCGATGAAAGCGTTGATGAAAGATCTTTTAAAGTTTTTACGGTATTTCTCAAAAAAAGAAAACAAAAAAACGAGAGGCCTTTGGCCCCGTCAGCAGTTGCAGTTCAGGAAGAAAGCAGACTGAGGGCCATGATTTAAACACTCGCCAAGTGCCAGACGGCAAAGTCCAACTGGTGGCACTCACTCACTTGTTAAGCCTTAAGTCGGCTCACAGCCTCCTCTTCACTTGACTTCACCCTTGCCTTCCTTGCTCTCGTGCTCCCTTGGCTCTGGGATGGGATGTCCCGTTCCTTGGTCCTTAATCTTCGTCCTGTAAAGTTCACACAACTATTGTCACATGCGATACACCCACTCAATGGGTTACAAGCCCATTGAGAAGATGAAGTTGGGGGCAGGAAAGCAACAACGACTAGAAAACAATATCAAGTAGGGATACACAGAGGAATATAAACATAGATTACCATAATGTATACATAATAATTGATTTACAATCTCTATTGAAATTCACACTGTTTAAAACTATTTTATTTAAGTTTACTTAATATTTACTCAGTGCTAAAAATGTTATTAAAGCTATATTCTTGTGGCTCATTTTTTCATAAATAGTAATATTAAAAATATATTACCAATATAATTAAATTTCAGGCCGAAATATTAATAATAATATTTATTTTTAGACTTGTCAAATGTAATATATTTTTTTTGTCAGTTTTTATTAAGTTACCAATGTATTGTGCATTTTCTCTCCGTGTAGACTAGAGTTTAGCTTTTCCTTTTAGCTCCCTTTACCACTTTTTATCCTTGAGGCGAATCGATTAGATGCGCTCGGGCGACCTGCGAAGTAGGAAATACTATTGGACTCAATCGCCTTTTCTCTTCGCCTCGGCTTCAGTTCCTGGTGCAGCTTAAGGGAAAGCTGGGAAAATTCTTCTCAAAAGTCGCTGGTCTTTTGCATATCCCCGATTCTTCATGGCCTGATTGTCTCTGTCCTTGGCCACATGTTGATATATTGTCAACAGACGCACATCGCATTTGTCTCCGCTTTCCTTTGGCTTTTCGGGAGGGTTGGTATTGGGGGTTGGGGCTTTCCCCGCCCCCTGATTCTTGTGTGTCCCTTTTTTGATAAAGGTTGACAAGCGTTCCACCCAGCCCAGCCACGCCCACCGCCCTTGTCAACCGCCATTGAGGCCTTGCCGTGGCAGACATGAAAATCGATTATGAAAATCGTTTGTTCAACATTTTTCACGCAGATACGCAGCAGCACCAGTGGAAAAGCGGATGGGAAAATAGGGAAAAGTGCGGGATACAGATCGAGAGGGCTTTTCACTTGTCGCTGCCTCGTAGATTTTTCTTCTCCTTTCATTTTTCTGTTTTTTTGCATTTGCATAAATATTTTAATAGAATTTTCGTCCCTAAAGCGGCTTTCACTATTTTGCAGCTGAGGCTGCGCCCGAAACTCCCATCGCCTCATAAAGATTGATGTTTAATGTGGGTCCCGTGCCAGGTCCTGGGAAAAAGGACGAAAGGAATAATATGAAATTGACTTATTCAAATAAGTGATTTACCACTTGACGACAACGAGCAACCCAAAAACTCGTAAAATACGGCAACAACAAGAAATTTGCATAAAATTGGAAAAGGAACTGCCAAACAGCAGCACTCAAAAATGGTTCCCAAAACTAACGGTTGGCCATCAAAAATTGAAGTGGGTCTTCTTAGCGAAATAACTGCCAGGGTTTGATTGCTTTAAATGCGCTGGGAAATCCATTGACATATTAAATTAATACGGATACGTGAAGTTTGCCAGGGTCACGGGGTACTTGGGAAACCAATTTGAATAATAACCAATCGATCTTTGCATAATTTCTGGGTTGACCTTTCAAAGTTAGCAAGATGTTTGCAAAAGGTATTTAGTTACTCCTAAGATTTTAAATTTCAACCATGAAATTTTAAGTGAGGGTAAATTATGGATAAATTTATATTAATTTAAAACTGTTTAACATACATTTTCAATCCTAACGATTTATGCCTTTCTAAGTTCTTCACTTTCAATCCCCTTTTATAGCTTATAAACGATTTCCATTCACAGGCAACTTAAAGAAAGTTTCCTTTGGGGCATTTATCTGTTCTTTGGTCCTTTTTGTTGGCTTGTCCACTCCAAGGATATTAAGATTATCCATCAACACTTGGTCTCAGTGCCTGCTTCCCTTCCCATTAAATTTTTTGCAGTCAAATGAATATAAATGACCTGACGCTTTAAATACTAATAGCCAGCAAATTCTCTCTTATCAGAGCAAAAACATTTCTCAACATTTTTCCCGTCACTTTTTATCTTATTCGATGTTCTTCTTTTTATTTTTTTTGTATTTTTTTCTTTTTTGCATTCTTTTGTGGGCAAAGAAAAAAGTTTTGAACAAGACAATTTGTTAAAAAGGAAAGCTAAGGAAAGAAAAATTCCCCAGTTCCCCTGCGGATGCTCCGACTGTCGTTGATAGATTAACTGTAACGGTGATGGATCATTTACTTAAATTATTAAAATTGCCTACTCAAATTTCACACCCAAATGGAGAGCAAAGTTATTCCCTTCTCCGCAGCCTGTGAATGATTCACTGACTCGCTGACAGACTGATTGAATGCCCAATGATAGGTTGTTGGCAGCGGGGGAATTGCGGGAAGGTTGAAGTGAACACTTTGAGGTAAATTCGCATTCTAAGCCGGGCAAATCTGTCAGAACCAAATAACAGCAGAAACAAAACTCGAACTCGAGCGATAACAAAAATAAAGTATAGCCAAAAATACTTTTCGAGAGCTCGGTGTCAATATACTCTGCTTTAAAAGGGGTCAAGTGAATATTTTAAAGATAGGAAAGAAAAACAATTTCCTTTACTTTTTCATTACGTTTATATAAAGTAAGTTATATTTATTTAATTCTAAAAAATACTTTAAAAATATGTTTAAAATTATTTGTTTAATTTGTTTTACTTTAATTTAAGTTGCTTAGAAATATATTTTTAATGAAGTTTTAAAATATTTTATTTAGTTTCAGAGTGTTTAAGTTGCCTTGGTCATTTGCTTTGATTTTCCCCCGTGCACGCTTCTCTTCTGTTTTGTGATAATTTTATCAACATGAAAATCCATTAAAAAGTTTTCTCGTTCGCATTTCAGTTTTCGGGCAGTTTTTGGTTGAAATATTTCCACAGGCAAAGTCTGTGTATCGGCTTACTTGGCTCTTCAGATCCTCTTTCCAGGGTTTCTCTTCCGTTTGCGATTTTTTTTATATGGGTGTCCTTTGCGCAAAGACTTCCTTGCCAGGGTCACTTTGTGCTGCGATGCGTAAAAGTTTCTCTCTACTTTTTTTTCCTGTATATTTTATTTGGCCAGACCCGAGGGCCATATTTGTGCGGCGACCTTTTACACTTTTTATGCTGATTCTTGCTGAATTTCCCTGTTTTTATCCTTGGGCGGGGAAACCATTTCTTGACATTTCATGATTTTTGTACGCTTTTCTTTTTTTGGTGGGTGACAACTGCGAAAGAAATCTAAGATTGAGACTTGGGGTTTTCCTTCATTAGTTAAATACCCATGGTCTAGGCCAACAGACTGCCAACGGCTATTTACTCTACTTCCTGGCCAAATGAAGGGTTCAATTTGAACTTTTGGCATTGATTTAAATAGGGAAAAGGTTGGGAAAAATCTCATCAGCATGAGCACACAAAAAAAATGGTACCTGAGGCGAATTTTCACGAATTTATTCATTGTATCGAATATGTCAAGAGCAGAGCAGCCCGGACGTCAATCTTTGGGAGAAGAGTCAAAAGCAGGAAACTTTACAATTCAGCTTGGGATAAGGGTGAAAGGTGAGGAAGGATGCTGAAGTTTCCCCTTGACAAGTTCATCAGAATTGGTTGCTAATGCAGGAAGTAATTCGAAATAAAACGAAATTCACGAAAAAAGAGTCCCTGAGGTTTACGTTTTAAACAAGGTTTAAAGTAAGGAAAAATCTCTGTTTAAATTGATAAAAAATAAATTCAGATCATAAAATCAGTTAAGACATTTTATAGGATTTATTATACATGAAATGCACAGCCTTAAAACAATTTATCAACTCTAAAGTCGTCCATTGATTTTTAATAACCATCTTTAAACTTTTCCTCTTGAAATATTAAGAGCCTTAGAAACAAGCTCAAAGCCGCTTTGCGATGCTATCTACAAAAATCTGCAAGTAAAGGGTGCCAAGACCTCTTTTCTTGTTAAACTCCCTGCCATCAACTTGGTACACAATTCCCTAATCTGTCCTAAATCGCATTATAAATATTAAAATCATTCTCTCCCCCTTTTTTTGGTTCGTGCCAGACCCATTTGCCATGATTAATTACAAGGTATCAGTACCATTTTGTTATCCCATCAATTTCAGGCAACTTTGGCCCCCGAAAAATCCCTGCTCTTCGCCAGAAAGTTTCCCCTTTCCTTTGCAGGCGAGTAACGAACAATTTTCAATAAGCAACAGCAACCAAGAGCAAAAACCGCATCTTGCTTCAAGCCAAAGTCGTAGCCTAATCCCCCCAATCAATCTGTTGACCTTCAACCCAAAAATGGTTTACACACATACAAAATACCACCCAAAATACACGCACACATATATAGCAAAGTTGGTCGGGCATGAAAACGTTTTCCCATTTGGCAGCAATTAAAGAGCTTCAAATGAATTTATATACACATCCATAAATTAAACGAGTCCTGGCTCCGCTTGCTCTTCATTCATTTCATTTAAGTTAATTAGATTCAATAATTTTGAGGCCTAAAGCATAGAAATGCCACACAGCCCGGCTATCCGGAGAGCAGAGCCCTAAGTCGGAATGGCTGCTGCGTGCCCGAAATTTCTAAATAGCCAACATAAATTGAGATTTATATGGGCGCTTAGGTGGCCATCATGGCCTGGTTCTCCTCGGTCTTGGCCATCCGCATCCTCATCCTGGCATTGCCGTTGCTCCTGGTCCTGATCCTGGAGCAATTGAAATTTGCCAATTTCGTAGATTTTTATGTGTATGCACTAAAAATGAAAATTTAACGGTCCCATAAAGGGACGGTCGTCTGTAATGCGGATTGGAATGCTCTGTAATTATCTCTGATGAGGGTATAATATTTCTTTCAAAAAATGAGTTGAATTGAACCATGTTTTTAAATGTTTTTGTTAAAGATACATTTTTAAAAATAATATTATTATTTTTAAATAATTTTCGCACTATAATTATAATCTGGTGAAGCAAATAATATACAATTATTTATTTCGCAGATATATATTATTTTAAAACCATAATTATGAACATCGTTTTTAATCTGAAAGTCCATCCGTTTCACAATAAAATTGACTACCTTTTTTCCCCAGCCTACGTGCTTTTTGTCGTGGATTTTTCAGAACGGAAATCCAAAAAGTTGATGGATATAACACAGAAAGAGAGATAAAAATTGGCTTCGTATATTAAACGCTGCGGAAATTGTTTCATCAATTTGTTAATAAAACGCACATACGGGCTGCCGAAGAGCGAAAGAGTAAGAGAGACGGGGAAATGTGGGACAGAGGCAGAGACAAACGTTTGACTTAATAAAATAAATTGTATAAATTGAAGTCTATCATTTTGAGATTCCCAGGCGTAACATCACAGCCCCTCACATAAAACATAACAAATTGCATGAAATTTACGTGAGAGCGAGTGTGTGTCTGTGTAAATATACGAGCCACCCCCCTGGAAAACCGCCTGAAAACCCCCGAAGTCCCCCGGAAAATTGTCATGCATGGCATGAACGACTCGACTCGACTTGACTCCCCCCAGTAAAACGGCAACTGAAGGAGCAACAAATTTCTAGGCCTCCAGTCCGAGTGGCAGAAGACAATCAAGTCAGCCAGTCACAGGCGACATTTGCTCCTTTAGGTGTACGTGTGTGCGTCTGTGTCCTGGCCACATCCTGTTGTTGGCCCTATTCCTGACACACTGACACACGAACTCGAGCAGCAAAACACTGGGCTCGGATCACTCGGGTGAAGATGTTGCCAGGCGGCGAGATTGAGTTGTCTTCTTGGCAGGGCAAAGTGGATTTCTGGCCGGAAGAAGGTTTCCCAAAATTCAATGAGGTTTTTAAGTATTTATAGAAGTAGGAAATATTAATATATTTATATTTATAAATATATATAAGACTACCAATTGAAGAAATCAAATTTTTTATTTATTTTTTTTTCTTAGAACCCTGAATTATAATATACCAAAAGTTAACACAATTCTTAATTTTTGTACTCTACGAAAACAACTTTTTCGCATTAATCCTAATGTTAAATCTCCGATTAATTGACGTCGATAAAAATGATTTATAAAGATGGATGCACCTAATTCTCACGCACATGGACGCTGTTTTCAAGTTGATATCATTTATAAATCAACTTTATTTCTGCCCATCAATCGCCCTGGCATAGATAGACTATTTTTACGGTTATTTGTGTTATCTCTCATCCATTCTGTACATATAGGGACATGCTGAGATAATAAAACTTATAGCAGACAATTTAAGGCGGAGGGAAAAAAGAATGAGAGCAGCGGAGAAAGCGGAGGCTAAGTAAACTGAAATGGACTCGCAAGACTCACGTGCAGATAAAAATAACGGCAGGAAAATGACAAAGACAGCAGGAGAAGCCACGTGGAGAAATGGAGAGAGATAGAAAGTGGAAAGTTGAGAAGAAGTGGGAGAGGGAGAAAGCAAAGAACAACAACAATGGATGCGAAGAACAAATACAAGGAAAGGCACGAGCTTGCAATTTAATACGCAGATAAACACACACAAAGAAAGCATTCAAGTGGGGGAGTGGGAAAACTTTCACTGAGCAAAAATACTACAAAATTTTTTTAAAACAAAATATTTAAAAATTTAAAAATGATGTCCAAAAGTATGGTATAAATAAAAGATGATAGTCTTTCGTTATTTACTCTTCGGATTAAGTAGCCGAAAATATTCTGAAGCATACTTTTAGACACCTTTGAAAAAGATTTTAAATTCTTGTTACTATTTTAAGAACTATTTTTGTCAGTGCTCGACTAAAGGAAGCGAAAAGAACTAAGGCAGATGATGAAGTCGAGCACGGCACGCACATGTCTAAATTTATCCACGAACTAGGTAACCCCGCCCCTCGGCATCCCCACGCAGATCAAGCGATATCGGTTGAATGACACGACATGTAGCGATGCTTAGCTTCATTTTCCCACAACTCCCCCGCCAAAACAACAGCCCTCATCATCGTCATCCTGTCGCTGTTGTAGGCGCGCTTGTTGCTGATTATGTTGATGATGCATGTTGTAATGTTGTTTAGGCTGATGTTTTGGCATAGACTGCTTCCACTCCCCACTCACTCGACATGTATCCCACTTTCCGTGGACAAAGCAAAGCCAGCCGAATGCAATTTGTAGCAATTGTATAGCGTTTGCCCCGCATCCGCCCCCGAAATCCCAAATCCCAACCCTTCAGCCATCTTTGATGTGTTTGACAAGCCCATCGGGAAGGGAAGGCAGAGTTTGCCATCCGAAAGGTTATTAATATTTATACGGCTCTCTGCGAAAGCAGACAGCCAAAGCAGCCGATTAGAGCGAGGCGTTTAATTTGCGGACGGAACAATGGGGCGTATGAGCAATGCTAATGTTGATTTGGCTCGCCATCCATCGCGCTGTGAGCTAAATGGTCTGCCAAAGGATAATGGTTTCAGCTGGGTACAGTTTGACTTCAGTTTGTGGCTTGTCTTGGGTTTTAATCAAAATCTTGTATTAAAGGCAAATATTTAAAATGACAGTGTCTAAAAGCATGCAACAAAATATTTTTAATTCAAAAGTTAAATGACTTCATACAGGATGGCTGTCCTATCCTTTATTTATTTCTGTGGCACAACAATATATTCTAACCATCAAGCACTAAAATATTATTCGGTAATTACGAAACGACACGGTATAAATTACCATAAATCTCATTAATCATATCAGCATGTTTTGCGAATTTCCATCTATTAATTACTCAATAAATATTTCGCTTGTATATACCAAGAACCAAACCGACAATTAAGGACTTTAACCACACAGCCACATCCACCTCGCTCCTTCGACTTGGAGTTTCCACTTCTTTTGCTGCATTTTAATTGCAAATTTCCCACAGACTCTCCGCAGATGTGTTGACTGAAGAGCTTAACTCAGACTTGGTTGCCGAAAGAAAACTTTCGAGACTAATAAAAGATTTCTGATACGTGCGAAAGAAATATTCATGAAATTTCATGAAAATTAAATTAAAAAACTTGTTTCAAGTTGCGGTAAAGTGGGAGGGGTGGTGGAAAAGCTGGAGCTTCGCGTAATAAACAAGTTAAAACTCTAACCATAATTTTGTTTATTTTCTGTATGCTGCCTGCAAGTAAACAAGAAAACAAAAGCTTCATAAATTCAAGCCGCAGCATATGTGAAGGACCCTCCTCCTCCTCCGCCCCCTTTTTCCTAACCATTGTGGCGTTGGCTACAGTTTATGGAAGTTTTTCCCTTATTTTTGTTTATTTTTTTTGAGTAGCTTCCTCAATTGCGGCTTTTGGCTTTGGCAACATAGTTAAGATACAAGAGCCAAGACAGGATGGTTTTCCTACATTTTTCCCTTTTTCCCCGCAGTAGGCAAAGTTTTGCTTTTACACTCAATTACAATGCAGAAAGTTTGACAGGAAATTACTGTATGGCAAAGTTCTGAGTGTTTTTGTAAAGCTTCTTCAGCCCGCGAAAATCCCCCAAACCAAAGTGACCCGGTTAATATGATATACCCGCCGTAGATTTTTCATATAAAATATACCTGGAAAAAACTCCGGTAAATGAAGCCATTGAGACAGAAAACTAACAACGTTATTTTCCATATAATCCAGAATCCGGGGGAAAATATGAGTGACACAAATTTCCATAAATCAAAGCTATTCGTGCATATAAATAAATCAAATCAAAGGCTGCATAATCGCAAGAGCAAATAAACATTGAGAGAGAGAGCTGCACAAAGCTGACACGGATACAAAATTTATTTCAATATTTGCTTTAACAAATTGCTCAAATCACAGAGCAAACAAACCCACCGCACACACGCAAAACACACACGATGCACAAAGAAATTAATAAAAATTTATTGCATTTGAATTTGTCGCTGACATAAAACAATTACAGAGCTACGAGCACCAACAAAATGGGGAGCAGGCGAAATATTTTTATTGTAAATGAAACGAAAACAAATTTCACGCGTACGCATAAAAAATGTAACACCGAAAAGCAAAATAAAAACAAAATATGCTTTGTTTCGACAAAAACGCCGCTGGACATTTTTTCACCTGGAAATTTTTAAAAAATATTATAAATACATTCTGCATATCGTGCATGCAAATGTATTCAATGTGCTTAAGGTGTTTCATATATTTTCATCGGTTTTGCTTGCATTTTTTTGTGAGTTTGTGCAAGGAGTTTCAACAAAAAACTGGCAGACAAAAAAGCGGTAGGAAGTAAAATTGAATTGATTTTAATGGAAGGTAAATGTAGTGAAATATAATAAATCTCAAAATCTGTAGATGCAAACTGACAAGCTTTTTAAATAGGTGAGACCTGAAGTGTTGGGGGTTTTTTAAAAGGTTTTTTATTACTAAAAGCCTTCCATAAACACGCATAAATTTGGTGTTATATGGAGTCTTTGATATGCGCATGGTATATTTCTGGTATTAATACGCATGTCGTTTTTACCATGCAATATTGGTAAAATTTATATTTAACAATGTCATTTTTCCGATTTCTCTATTTTCTTTGTGCAAACTATTTTTAATATTTAAATAATCTAAAAAAGTTGTGTATATAAATAATCTTAAAATTAAATCAAATAGCTGGGAAATTACATTTTCAAGGTTTTTAAATCAATTTTATAAAGCTATGTTACATGAGTCTTCAGTCGTTTCAAATGTTTTGTTTTAATTTAATATTACCCCAAAACTCCAGGCCCAATTAAACTTTCCAAAAACATCCCTGAATGCCCCAAAAACTCCCAGTTAAAGCCTTATGTACACCCACTCTACACATATATATATTCAACCAAGCCACAGGCTTGGGGCAATTACGCATCGTTTCATTATGAAATTTATCGTATTACGTTGATGAAATCACTTGAAGAGGTTTCTGGGGGAGGGAATGTCTTACATCCACGCTGCTGTTTCGCTTAATTTCCCCATTGGCTGATGAATCTATATGTGGATGTGCAGAAGGCCTTTGTGGGCGGCTGCTGTGAAAGTCACATTTGCTGCTAGAATTGTTTCACATTGTGCGCCGGGCGCTCAATAATTACAAAAGGATAGGGAAGGGTCCTTGTGCGAGTGCCTGGGTTTGTGTTCATAATTACACATGAATTTCAATATCCTGCGGCAGCTTTGGCTTTCCTCTTCAAAAGTCCTTTGCCACATCCTTTCGCTCGCTGTCAATATTTACCCAGAGATCTCCGCCCCCCAAAAACTTAATGACATTTGCTATATTTGGCTTGACTTTAAATGGCTGCCTCTAACGACTTTAACAAGGCGCAACAAAAGGGTTTTCCCCATTTGCTCTTCCCCCATACCATTTTCGCAACTTTCCATTTCCTATTTCTATTTGCCAAAAACTCTTTCCACCCGAAAATCTTTGGCAATCTTCGTGGAAAAGTTTTTAATGTACTCGGCACAGTGTTTTGTGGTTCTCTGTTCGGTGTTTTGTATTTGTATTTTGTATTTTCTATTTGTATTTGCTTTCTTCTCACCGCCCCGCTCTGTCGAGTGGGCGTGGCAGCTGCCTTGCGCCTTGTAATTGAGTGTAAGCGCTAATTGGAATTTTGATGAAGTTCGGCGGGAATTTGGCAACAGTATAGGTCGAAGAAGGACGAAAGGATTTTGGGGAGTTGGCAATTATGTAAGTAGCAGTTGAGAATGTTTCGAATTTCGTGTGGTCGCTGATTGGAGGGGATATAGTAGGCGGAAGGGAAACGGGAAAGGGTTAAGTGAGTGTGGAAAAGCTTCTTGTAGTCGCTCGAGTCGGGCATTAAGTATACGCCATGCGGAACGACTCGAGCCCGCCTCGAGAGCTCGTGTGCTGGCAATTGATAACTCGCTGGCAAGAAATTTAAAGTTTTCCCACAACTTTCGCTCTGGAATCAGCCGAAAAATTCATATCAGCTTCTAGCGAAGGGAGCCAAGAACTTTGCCGCCCAGAAGGCGTAGCACTCATAATAGACTCTTTTATTTCTTGGCATTTGCTCAAGGAAGCATCTACACCTATAAGAATTTCATTAAAGTTGTAAGAATCAAGACCAAAGTTTTTATTTTAAAATGCAATAAAACTTTAACATCGAATTATCATAATTTTAGTGGCACAACCTCAAAATAAATTCTTAAATTTAGCTACGCATAGAAAAATTATGTCGAATAAATTGTAAATATGTTTTGTATTAGTAAAGCAGAAGTAATGAAATTAATTTCTTATATAGAATGGAAAATAAATATGTTTTATACTAAATATTTATTTAACCTTGGCAAATGTAATAAGAATATGTGTTTAATAAGTTTAATAACTTTATAATAAAGTTAGTAAATAGTTAAAATTAATGTCTAGCACCTAAACTTTATCCCCAGTGTGCTTTCATGCTGGCAAACAAACAAGGAGCTGTCCTTGTTTCAGCTTTGCTTTTACTGCACTCGTTTCTGCTTCTGTGTTTTTGCACTGCACCTTAACCAGGAAGTTGTGTGTCATAGGAAGCACTTGTGTGACATAATAAAAACTCTCTACCTATACTATGCTTTTTTATGTGTGTGGACCAGGTGGCACAGGTCCTTTCTACAACATGCTGCACTTTATGCTTTGTCAACAACAACAGCAACGACATCAACGTCATCATCAAGCGGAGACCCGCAAATGTTTTCTTTACTAAGCCAAAGTCAGCAGCAACTACAAATGAAGTTCATAAGTACATATACACATACACACATACGACTGGGCCTCAAAAGAACACAAAAATGGGGAAAAATAAAACGAACAGACTGAATTTAAGAGACCCATCGGTCTAGGAATAAATAATTCAGTCTTTCAGTAAAGAGTAAACAAAAATTATTAGAAAAAATAAAAATTAATATTAAATGTGGAATTTTTTAAAAATGTATTTACGTGGTTTATTTTTTTACAACTCAAATAGTTTTAACCAAATCCGAGGATTTTAATTGTGTTTGGCTTAAGAACCACAAAGTTCCACTAAAAATATTTTACAAACCGATGACTTTAATCCATTTTTTAAA